TGAGGAGGGCAACCAGGGCCAAGGAACAGAAACACAAGAGGCTCTAAACCTGTTTTTCTTTTCACTTGGGGTCAAAAGGCATGTGAATATCTTCTGGCTATTTACTTTAGATCAGTTTTCCAAAGGATGAGCACTGATAGGTTCTCCCACAATTCTGATTGATGTTGCTATTGTCCTTACACTGCTTCCGTTCCAACAGTTGCATCAGAAGATAATCCTTGCATACCGTGACAGTTTTCCTTTCCCTTTTCAGAGGCTAGCCTGCTCAAGCCAAGTTGTGAGCCACAGTGAAACATTAAGAGATTTTACTTTTTGGAAAGTTTTTTTCCCTCTGAGAACAGCAGGTTTATTTTTCCCAAACCCTGTCAGCTTGGTAGTCCCTCCCTGAGCTAGGGACTTTCCGGGTGCCACTGACCTAAGAGTTGGCTTCTGTAAAGTGAAGTTGAGTTTGTGACTCCAGTGCCACTGTCAAAAAGCAATATCTGGAGACCACAGGTCAGAATGGTACTGGCTCCATGAGATCCTGCTGGCAAAACAGGAAGATGTGATATGCAGTGGTTTTGCTGCAGTGAGTAGGGGAAGTAACAAAAAAGAAATGGAAAAGCTTAGCTTCTAGTTGGTGTTGAGTTATCTTCCACTGTCAAACCCTCAGCTTTATGTTATGCTCCTGTTGTGTTGGTGCAGTTGGTTAAGTCCTGGCTGTGCTTAGAGAGATCCATGTGCAATAAAATTATCTTTGCTTAGCAGCATGTCTGGGTGCTGTTGGAGAGTTAGTGTTGAGCAGCTCGTGGTAGATATCTCCTGAGAGGCACAAACACTCTGCCATCACAGGGATGCTAGCAAACACCCAAGAGAGTAATAAAACTGGTCTTGAGACTGGAGTGCTTATGGCTCCTCTACTGTAGGCAGCAGGAGCCTTGTCAGTGCTCAGCACATGGGTGTAACCCTGTAACCTTCTTCAGTGTTCCTCCTCCATCCCCCAGCTGTCCTAGAAGAGAGGCCTTGTGTGAGGTGGAAGTCATTCTTTGCTGGCTTTTCCCAGCAAAGTTTTTTCCCAGAGTCTATTACAGCACTGGTCTCACACAGATTGGCGAGGGCACTGCACTGCTGAGAGAATCTTGGAGTGTTGTGTAACCAAATTTCCATTTTTTTTTTTTTTTTTTCTGTTCCTGAGCACCTTTCTAAACTTGGTGGCAGGCTGAGTGCAGAGGTAGAGCACGGAGGAGGATTTTTCTAAGGAAAATTCCTCTCTGAGACTTTTTAAGCTGTGGTAGGAGGATGACTAACTGTGGGTACACCCAGACATTTCCCTTTGGACACACCTAAACACACTCTTTCCAAGAAGAGGATCATGCCACCTTCCAGTATGGGTGGAGAGAAAATTTAAAGGGAGACAGGACTATTGGGTCTTAATGTCCATAATGCTATATCTCCTTGTGTCACAGTGAGGAATTTTAACAGAGCACAGTCTTGGGGTGATTTATGGTGTATTGCTAAATGAGGTTTCTTCATTTCTTTGTTCTCCATCAGCAGATGTGTGTTATTTGTAGACAGCAGAGGCTGTTGCCTATTTTTGCACTCAATTAAATTGTAACTTCATCACTGGGGCCTCTGCTGCAAGAAAGTCAGGCAATGATCCAGACTGATTAATTATCAGCTTAATGCCTTTGGCAGAGGCGTTTTGCTGCTATTGTGGGGCATGGTCAGGGTACTGCTGCCCTTTGTGATGACAGAAAAAGTTAGGGGTTGTGTCTGTGCTGTTCCCTTCATTGAGCTTGTTTAGTGACAGGATTAGGTTTGGCTGCATGGACTGGCACATGTGAATAAGAGGTCCAGAGGAAATTATCTGTAACACTTCTTGAACATAAGTCTGCAGAAATGCAGAAAACTGTAATACTTTTCTTGATGTGGAAATGAGTGGGTTGGGCGTTTTACTTTGGTTTTCAGAGAAACTGGTAGCTTGCAAAATTTGGCTTGCAGTATTTTTTTCCTTGTTTTGTTAATGAAAAAGTCATAAATATAGTGGAAGGATAAAAATGGACAAGAAGTAGTTTCTGCTGCTGAATCATCTTGAGAGAAGTCCATTTACCTGTTTGAGAAACCAGAAGTCTCTTTAGACAGCTGAGCCTCTTTTAACCACAGTAAGCTCTACTGGCTTTTTCCAAACATGAGTTTGTTTCTGGGGCCTTTCTCGAAATAAATGTTTCGTTTTGTTGGCAGAATTCTACAGATCTTTCTCATAAGTGGGTCTTGAAATGCTGAAGCTGCAAATGTGTAAGTTTGTTCTCCCTGCTACAGGCACCTGTGATCTGAAAATACCCTTGCTAGGTGTTCCTCTGCTGCTGGGGGTGCAGCAGGAGGCCAGCTCTGCCTGGTGAGGCTGAATTTTCAGAGGATGCTGTTGCTAGTGATGGCTGGGGGAGCCACTGACTTCTCGAAGCCACTCAGGCATTGCCCTCTTATCACACCAACACAGAGTGAAGAGATAAAACCACCAACCACCAAGGTCATGTTGTTGTTGGGAAAGTCAAGCAGAGCATCTCCCTTGCCTGTGCAGGTCCTTGTTTAACCCTGGTCACTGCACACACTGGCTGCCAAAAATCAATTACTTCCTTGGTGATGTTTGTTTGCAGCCTTTAAATAATGTAGTGGATAAACAACCAAACTGCAGAGTGTACATTAGCTGTTGGCTAATAAGTTATTACAAATGTCTTCTGGACTTGGTTTGTGTAAGCTCTGCTTCCTCTTTGTTTTCTATATAGCTAATAATATCCTGAGCTTCCCCACACCCTGCTGGCACTATGCATATTAAAGTGCAGAGTTACTGAGCTGCAGTGATCACAGCACATTTAGCCAATAAGTATCTATGAAAATTGTTTCTGTGGCAGTGATGAATTTGGTCTGGGCTGCAAAAGCCACTTCAGACACTTCTGTGTGCCAAGCAGTTGCCCTGCAGTGAGTTCCTGAGCAGCTGCATTGCACTTCTGGTGTATCTTGTATCTTCTGGTACATCTGGGGCTGGAGTTCCTGTAGAAATCAAAGTCCTGGGTGTTTTTTATCAACCTTCGCTTTCTGCTGTTCCTACTTAGGACAGCAGGAGCTGTGGGGCTTTAAATGCTCCTGAGAATTCTCCCTCAGTGCTTTGTCACGTGCAAAGCTTGTGATGATGCTTAGAGTTTTCTTCTTGCACTGCATCCCTGGGCTGGTGCTTTTAACCACAGACTGGTTTCCCACTTCATCCAATGTGTGTATGAAATTGGATGACTTAATGTGTGCTGCTTTCAAATGCAGAGGTTGGAAAACAAAGCCTGTTGAAAGAAGTGTTTGTCATGCAAGGAAGTGCAACAAACACTTCCTTGAAGTATCACAGAAAATCTCTTTTTGAACAAACAAGGGGACTTCTAAAAGCTCAGCTGGGCTTGGCAGTGAGAACAGCTGTAAGAATCGAGGTGGCCCCGGGCTCTGGTGGGCATTGAGCCCCTCCAGGGAAGGTGGCCAGTTCCCCTGCAGCTGTGGCTGAGTCTCTCAAATCACAAATAATTTATCTTCCTCCTCTCTCCCTCTCTTCTTCCAACCAGTCGTCAGCAAACATCTGGAAACTCAAATTTCACATTATAAGGTTAAAAGAGGATAGAAGAGAAAGTGAGGGGTGCTGAGGACTCCAGGCATTGACAAAGGCAGGGAATTTGGTACAGCTTGATGAGAAGCAGAGTTCTGTGGACAGACCAGAGTGAAAGGGCTGAGAGCACAGTGGAGACTGCTTGGAAACTAAACAGCTGCTGGGGTGGATGCTGGGGGTTTTGAAATAGTTCAGGTCAGAAGAGGAATCAGGTGTGCAGGTATCTAAACAGCCTGTGGGTAAAGTCATGCTGCCCTGGAGCTCTGGAAATGGCATCTCTTGCTCTGCCTCTGCTTTCAGGACTTCTCCACTCACCCACTCAGTTGTTGCCTTTGAGTGTCCCCAGATGGGCCTTTAGTTTAGGAGTGGCTTCTAGCTTATAGGCTTTAGGGGAGTGACTTTTAGCTTACAGATTTTATGTAGTAGGCCTACTTCTGTCTGGCTTCTGTTTCAACAACAGGATTTAGTCATTTGACCTCTTGAGTCTACCCAGGGTTGAAATATTTGGCTGTTTTCATGTCTGTTCTTTGGCAGTGGTTTGGTGGCTCTGGTGTCACCACGTGCTGCACAGCCGCCAAGGCTCCTGTTGTGGCTCTGTGTTGCTGTGTTTTTGTGGGACACATCTCTGCACTGTCCTGTGCTTGTACCATGGATATAGGCACATTTCCCAAGGACTGGGGAGAGGTCAGCTAAGGCAGGAGGTGAACTCCCAAGATGGTTAGAGCATCACGGTGCAGCACCTGTAGTGAACTTAGGAAAATGAGCATTTGGCCTGGACTTGGCTGGTGGTGACCCCTGTTACAATCCAGAAAGCTTTGCCACCTGCTAATGGCACTGTTAAGGCATGTAGAAAATATGGTTAGGAAGTGTTAAAATTTTTGTCTGAGATCTTTCCTTTTTATCCTTTAATGGAAGGTGAGTCTCTTGGGCACTTTTCAGCCACGGGGTTGAATTGCTGGTCCTCAAGTTGTGCTGCTCTTATCTTTCTGTTCAGCCTAGTGCTGCTCATGTGGGCACAGCTGCTATAAAGGGCCAAGTTAAATGTGGAAATGATTAAGGTTCTAAGATAGCAGCGTGCCAGCATCTGTGTTGCGTGCCACTGTTAATCCCTGGAGCCCGAAAGGACATGGAGACCCAAGCCACAATACAGGAGATCAGCTTGGTTAAACAGATGCACTCTCACAAACTAATAATATGCTTAAATACCTGGCATTTTCAAAGCAAGCAGTATTCCAGGAATTAACCTGTAATGTTTTTACCCTTTCTTCAGTCTGACTCATAGCAGAGAACAGATTATCTGTTTAGAAGGTAATACAGCAATTAAATGTCTGAAATATTTCAGTGCATAAATCCCTTATTTTTCCATTTTCTATTTCCCCAGGAACTGGCAAACTCTGTCTACTTGGTTATGGAGGTGAGTATGTCTTTTTCTTTCTTTTTTTTTTAACCTCCTTTCCCTCCCTCTTTCCCCTTTTTAATTTTTAAACTCATTTTAAGCAGGCCAGTATGTTTCACAAGTGGAGCTTTCTGCTGGCAGAAAAACCTGTGAGGCTTTGTTAATTTAATCTGCAGCTCAGGCCTTGGAGAGCGTGGGTGCAGAGAGCAGCCAGGGGATTTTTCATCTTGCTGCTCTCAGAAGGTCGTGCAGGCACAGGTTTGAGCAGTCACAGGTTTGAGCAGTCACACACTGAAGCTCAGGGGTCAGATGGGTGCCATGGGCCAGTGTGTGTTCAGGAACACACCAGAGAGAACGTTCTGGACACACATTACCTGCAGAGCCTCTGAATGTTTCCCTTCTTCTGCAGTTCTCACTCGGAGATCTTGTTGACTTTTCTTAATGATGTGTGAAAATTGATGTGAGGAGTTTCAATTTTTAGCTGTGTCCACTCCCAGGCTTTCCTCAAAAAGCTTTCTGATGGTGTCTCCAGTGGTGACCCCTCTGCTTTGTTCTGGTTTCATCTTTGTCTCTGATGTGCTTGAACATGGATGTGCAAGAAGCTGATTGATGTTGGTGTATCACTATGCAACATAACATTTAAGGGAAACAGCACAGGAGAGGAACCCAGAGGAATGGGGTTTTCCCTGCCAACTTCCGAATATGCATTTTGACATGTGTAATTATTTATGTTTACGTACTGTGATAAGCCTGCAATCCTACTGATGTTTACTGTTTTTCTTGTTAATCTTTGATTTGCCCTGTATTAACTGAGCTTTCTGTTGTGTTTGCAGTACTGTAATGGTGGTGACCTGGCAGACTACCTTCACAGTAAGTACAGCAGTATGGGGAACATCCTCTGGGAGGTTCACCCTTCATAATCATTTGGAAACTGAGAAGCCATGACAATAAAAGCTGGTCTTGTAGTCCTTTCTATGTAGATCAGTAGTGTCTGTTGTCAGTAGTTCTATATTCTAGTTACAATGGCCTTATAGGTTAAACACATTTCAACACTGCTAAGGATACAGTTTGTCTTTTCATGGTGACTGGCAAAAAGCTATTTATACTGAAGCCTTCCAGTTCTGTAGTGTTGGATTAAAATAAGATCCCAAGAGTATATTCTCTAAGTTTACCCCTAAGGTGTTCCCACATCTAGGGCAGAACATATTTCCTGTTTCAGCATATTGAGGATGGCTATGGTGTAGCCAGTAGTGCTGTGAGGGTGACAAAACCCACTCACTTTGGGGTCTTCTGGCGAGCATAGCACAAGTATCTGGGACCATGGTGCCTTGAAGAACCTTTTGATGAGACTCAGGAGTGTCTTTGCCATCAAGCCAAATGCTTTGCAGCTGTATTGCTGGGACTCAGGCAAGCCCTCAAGGTATTTTTCAGTGCAGCAGAGGTACAGGACCCTGGCCTTTGTGAAAATTACCTTGCACCTCAGTATCTAGAACAGGTAGGAGGAGAAAATATATTGTATATTTAAAATATAATATTATATATTAAAATATATTGTATATTTAACAATATACTTGGCTGCACTCAGACACAGCCCTTTTTAAAATTTTTTTTTTTGGCCCTGACTGAGTTTTTTCCCTTAGAGTAGCTTTCTGGTTGTTTTGCATGTTAACTAGAAGATTACTAAATGTGAAGAGACAACTTTAATCTCATTTCATGCGTGGCTCTGGGTCATGGTTAAACAAAGTTTGTTCACGTTGTTCAAATTAAAAGCTAGTCAGCTGGATAATACTTCAGGCTCCTTATTGAGGTATGAGATGCCTGGAAATGGCAAAAATTGAAGGATTAAAAGATAAATTTACATTTGCCCTATAGCTAGTGCTGGTATCCCTAGAATGATAATTTGGGGCTTGATGCTAGCATGTCACACTCTTCCTACAGGGTAATGAATTATATTTGTGGACTTGAATTTTCAGGAAGGGTTTAGTACTTGAAGGAAAAAGAATATTCTGCCTTTCATGTGTTTTGTTTGTTTAAAGTATGGGTGAGATAGAAGTGACAGGCATTTGTTTTTTCAAATCCAGTTTTAGTGTGCTTTGTGTTAGATATGTTTTGCATCTGTTGGGTATTGCTGTGCTCCAAAAGGAGCATCTTCAGTGGTGGCAGAATGTTCTTATGAACACCAGTGGAGGATGGTTTTGTAGTTGGTACCTTCTTTTTCTTTCTGAATGCAAATGCAAATTTTATAAATCAAATGCTTTTTAAAAATAGGGAAACTTCAGTTTTACCAGTGCATGGGCTTTGAAAGCTAAATTTTTTAGCTTTCATGCACATGAAGTGAACCTTGCACTGGGCTGTGCACTCTCATTGGCAAACCTGTGTGTGTAAACAAGAAATTACAGAAACGGAAACAAGCATTTATAGAAAATACTCTGCTCTGTACTACTTCTGTGTGGACATTGTTGTCTTTTCCCTTCTGCCACCCTTGGCCCAAAAGAAACCTCAAGAAAAAAGTGAGGCATGCAATTAGTTAGGCTGTTAATACAGCTCACTTCTTGGTTTATTGATTGAAATTACTCAGGAAGTTCGTGGCTGGTTTGAGAAAATGACAATGAATTGTATTTTCCAAATAAAATTCAGTTTTACCCCAGTTTGGTGAGTGTTACCTGGTGCAAGACATGATCCTTCTTTGCTTGACTTCATGTAAGAAAGTTAACCTTTAGCTCTGTTTTTTACCAATAAAATATTTTGTTTTGGCAACTAAAGATTGTTGTGTCTGGGAAGTTGGTGCTTAGTTTTATTTTAACTCTTAACACTTGTGTGCTGGTTGGCAGTGAAGAGAACCCAGCAGGCACCGATTTCCAGAGGGAGGAGTCAGTAAGGGACTCCAGCAAGGTTTAGTTACTCCCATCACTGCCAGCTCCCAGAGCCTAGATAAGTGTCAGCTTTCTGCATCCCACCACATGCCCCTGTGAGATATCTTCTCTTCCAGCTTCTGCAGGTGCCAAAGGTGCTTTTGACAGGAGTGATTTTTCACTGAAAACTCATCTCGGAAAGTTTCAATTTCTTCAGTATTTGTCTGGTACTCAGGAGGCTCATCTCTATTGAGTGGTTATTGTGCTGCTTCAGTTATTTTGATAATTGTGATTGTGTTTAATTGCAACATCAACTTTCCTACTGGCTCCTCAGACATTTGTGCTGGTAGTTCCTGTAACACTTAAGCAAGCAGTGCATACAAATCCCCTGGTTCTCATTGAATGAGTTGCTTGTAAGCTTCCAGATCCATTCTGCCCTCTAATTACAGGCATTAGGCAATATGATAATTCCATGTTGAATCCAAAGGCACTCTAATTCTGCTTGTCTTCATGACTGGAGGACGTGCATAGGTGCACGTTGCAGTGCACTGTGTGTGTCTGGCTGGGTTGTGGTGCTGGGCAGCCCCATCCCAAGGCTGTGTGTGTTCTGCTCAGCACAGCTGCTGTGGTGGTGTTGTCCTTTAGTGGTACAATGCAATTTCCCTTCAGGGAGATCTCTAGATGTTGATTTTACTGGAGGTCATCATGTGTTGAGCTGAGAGTGGCAGGTCTCTGCTGTGTGTGGCAGAGCTGTGGGAAGTGTTACAGAAGTGACCAGCTTCTGTACAGGAATAATTGGAATTCTGTATCCTCAGGTACTTAGGAGGTCAGAGCAGGCTGGTCTGAAATTCCTTCTTAAATTCAGAATTGTCATTGGCACAGGCTGTTGTGGACACTTCATAAGAGCATATTTGTGACCTTTGTTAAAGCTGTTGCTTTCATATCATAACAGGGAATTTCTTGGTTTGACCATGACACATGCAGGGAGCGTTGATCTTTCTAGTCCATCCCAAGTGGTGCAGGGGCCCTGTTGCAAACCAGAGGTGTGAAACGTTGCTCTGTAGCTTTTCTCCCTCTACAGCCAGGTAAATAGGAAGGTCTAGTCCTACCACAGATATATCTGGAATAAATCTTCTGACTTGTACAGAAGGTTCACAGGAGTGTCAGTGTCCATGCTCTGCATGGGTAGATGGGGTAGCTACAAGCCAGGCCCCAAACAAGTCAGCTTGGTCTCAGACTTCAGTGTGACTTGGATTGGGCCCATGTCAGAGATACTTGTGACACCTGTGGGTAAGAGGAGATGTTCTTTTTCCTAAATAACTCTTCCAAAATGGTGTTGTAATACAAGGTCAGTGGGTGTACTGCAGTGCATCTGCTCTTGGATAGCTGACAGGGGCTATTTACTGCAGTTTACCTATCAGCCTCTTGCAGGTTGAACTTCTCAGAACAGGCTGACCAGGGCACATCTTAGATGGCTTCATCCTTTTTCTCTGCCTTTAGAGCTCAAGGCATGTGGGCCCCACAGTGACCCAGAGTAAATATTTTCTCTGATCTACTGACCTGGGAGCTCAAGGCAGTAAGCAGAGTGCCTCATCACTGAAGTGGAGCCCATGAAAATAAACACAGGGATATTATTGCTCCTCAGTAATGGCAGAGTAGAGCTTGTGAAACAGCATCTTCTGCAAGAATGTGTTGCTCACCACAGACATCCACAGGGATGCCCAGACTTTAATGCAGGATTAGTGTTTTGCCAGCAGTTCTCTGGTGAAGATGAGAATTTCTCCTTTTTACAGGGACAGACTTAAAAGTTCTCTGTTTGGGATATAGCAAGGGAAGAGAGTTGTTTTGTTCTCCATTTGTTTGGGGTTTTTTTGTTGTTTTTTTGATGCCACCTAAATTGAATGAGTTTTCTGTATCTTCTCCTTCCCTCTGCTGTTGGTAGCTGGTCTGGGAGGACTTTTGCAGACCAGTATCCTGAAGTCATTGAAAATGTCAGTTGTATTTATGTTTCTGTCCTTCAGTTGCAGATTGCTGCTGTCACACAGTAGACTGATGGGCTGAGTATGAGAGATAAGGAGTTTTGTTTTCCAGTGTTATGGCCTGTTTGTTAATAGAGGGAGGTAAAAGGGTAATGCCCCTGCCCTCCCCATGGGACTGACTGTCCCTTCTCTGTTCATGAGGGCAGAGCTTCAATTTCCCAGTCCTACCTTCCTACCTGGGTTTCTGAGATTTAATGCTGCCAAAGGATCCAGCAGACTTCTCTGTCTGATTTTGCAGCACTGCAACACGGTAGCTCCACTCTGCTGCTGCAGTTGCACTGTGGGAATATGTCTGCAGGTTCAAGACACCAGTTTAGATTCTCTGTGCCAGGAAAACAGCTCTTTTGCAGGATTGAGAACTTTGTACAGATATGGAAAAGCTTAAGTTCTGCATGAACAAATAGTTTAGAAGCCCTGTTTTATAGGGATGAATGGATTTTTGTGATCTTGGTAGCAATGTTGTTGTTTTCAGTGTTACAAGGAGTTAGAATTCACATCAGGGAGGCTCAGCTGGTTTGCTGAGGGCTGGTGCTGTGTTAGCCTTATAGCCACCAAATTATCTAAAGAAGAGGGTAACGCCTTAAAGCCATGGCACACTCCTGGGACTGCAGGTCAGGACAAGGCTCTCCACAGTTCCTCTGCTAGAGGCAGAGTGTGCTTAGCCAGGAACTGGTAATTGCCTGCTGCCTTAAATAATAAGAATTATCAAGTTTCAAGTCTTGCTTCATGTTTGAGGGAGGGAGATCAGCCTGTCCTTTCCTGGGCCTGAGCTGAATTGGGGAAAAAGAAAGCCCTTTTGAATTCCTGCTGTTTTGTTTAAAGATGGTTTTTTAACCATTCTTGTATAGATTTCCTTGGGTATAAATTGCAGAGCCCTTTTGTTGGAGAGAATATTGAGTACAGCTAAGACATGCTAGACTTTTAATAGACAGAAAATGGTATGAGACTGAGTACACTGCGATATTTCAGCAGGAGATTGGGGAAGGCTTTGTTAAAGATGAGACAGTGCTTTCTTCAGAAGATGCAGAAGTGTTTTGAAGACTTGCACCTGAGCTGCCTCTTAGTATCCTTAAAATCCCTTCACAGAATCTCCCCTTCTGGGAAAAGAGTCTTGTGAACTCCAGCTGAGTGCCAGTTCATGAGGAAAAAGGCTCAGTGAGGGGAGAGAAACTCTATATACATGTGCACTGCTCTCACATGTTGTTAGTCCAGGACCACCTGATAGCCATGGTGACACTTTAGCTGTGCTTGTGCCTCCTAGAACCGTGAGCCTTGGGAGTGGAGGCAGTTCATTTTCTATTCTAAGTGCTGCTTAACTTATCAGTGTCCCTTGCTGCTTCACGTCCATGTATTTTAAAAGTTAGATTTTTAATTTCCTGTGTTGTGTTAAAGCTGTGTGCAGCCTCAGCTGTGTTTTCATAAGGATTCCTCCCTTCTAGCTGACTGGGTAGAGTGGTGTTTTGAAGCTCCTGCCAGCCTGTTTTAATGTCTTACTAGAGAACAGCTGGAAAAACTCTAATGAAGTCCCAAGTAATTTACAGGGACCTTTTACAAAAGAAATTATATTATTCAAGTGGAAAGGTGCTTGCTTGAAGCCTGACTTGCTCAGTGACTGACAAGGAGGCAGGCTGGTAGCACTGTTGATCCTGGGGTTTGTTCAGCAGGCTGTTCCCAACTTTGGCAAGAGTTTCATATGTATAGTTCTTAAAATAACGAGAGCTGATGTTGCACTGCTCTGATTAGAAGAGCCAGTTGAAAATTATTTTAATCCCTTCAATATTTATTTTCACACTATGGTCCCTGGGAAGCCTGTGTCTCAGGAGAGGCCACTTCAGAGCTTCTATATTTGCAGATTTTGATCACTAATACATTCTTTCAAAGACTTGGCTTGTGAAAACATTTTGAGACATTCCTCCTGGATGTATGGCTGTAGGGTGGAGGGTGGCAGGTGATGGTTTGCAGGGGTCATTTGCTAGGGTCTGTTGTTAAGTACCAGACTGTGGTTCACCCAAACATTGGGTTTGGGATTAGAATTCTGGTTTGGTCAGGTGATAATGTACAAGGGTTAGGCCTAGGGTTAGACTTGGATTCATACCCTAAAGGTACAGATCCCTGCTGGCCATGTGCCCTAACCTGCTGTGAATTTAACCTATCAACCCTTCCCAGGCCCAGCATGAGCCTTAATGACTCTTGCAGGTGTAAATCCTAATTGCCTTTCCTCTTAGCTCCACCTTTAGACCTAGTTTTTGTGATAAAGCTCTGACCTTGGCTATCCAGCTGCTGCTGACCACAGCTCACAGGCAGCCACAGCTCTACCTGGTGCTTGTCTGGATCTTCGTGGCAGCTCTTGCTGAGGGAAGCCCTAAACCTCACCAGATGCCACTTTTGGACACAGTTAATAACCCAGATTCAGCACCCAGTGCTGGCCTAAGTTGACCATGAGAGACTCAGGGCCAAAAACAGCCTTGACCACAGAATAAGCTGGGAATGCAAATGCTCTCCCTTGTTGCCTGTAGGAATCATTCAGAAATGGTGTGTGGGGAAAAGACATCATATGTGGGAATAAAGTGACAAATTACAGTTAATTGCTGTGAGACTCTGCCCTCTGGGCTCCTCAGAGAACTGGCATTGTAAGTTTTTCATCCGTGGTTATTTTTCTTTCCTCTTTCCCAGCCATGCGGACACTTAGTGAAGACACCATCAGGCTCTTTCTCCAGCAGATAGCAGGTGCCATGAAAATGCTGCACAGCAAGGGCATCATCCATCGGGACTTGAAGCCACAGAATATTCTCCTTTCCTATGCTGGAGGCAGGAAATCAAATCCCAACAACATTCGCATAAAGATCGGTAAGGCACTGCTATAAACGTCACCCTGAGCACTCAGGAGTTTGGTGATGTGATGGACAGGTGGGAACCTCAACTGGGGAACAGTCTAGGAGGAGAAAAAGCATTGCTCCACCTTGAAAACATCCTAGTGTTTTTCATTCTTAGTTCCTCTGGTATATGTAGCTTTCAGCTGCCTCCAAGCAGTAGGAGCAAAAGCTTTCTGCTCTGCCAGGACACAGATTTATCACAAAGGAATTGGGCAGGCCTTGCTCTGCTCCCACTTGAATGGTGCCTCCCTCAGTAAAAACAAACACCAGCCTACCCTAATTGGCTTGTAGTCTCCAGGCTTACCAAGAAATAAATAGAAATTGTGACTTTTGTCTTCAGCTCTTAACAGTATTGAGGTTAAATGTTGTTGTCTGACACTAACTGCTCTGCTGGCTGGCCTCAGAGAGCGCAGTGTGTTGTCAGGCAGACAAAAAAATGGGAGTTTTCTCAGTCTGAACCAGAGACAGGCTTCTCAGCTGCAGCTTGAAGAAATTCACATTCTGCACATCAGGCAAGTGGCACAGATGGACCAGTAGTTGGGATGAGTGCTCCAGAAATCCAGTTCCAGAGCACACATATTCCCTGCGGTCCCTCAAAAATAAGATGATATCACCCTCACACGTGGGCTTTTGGTTACGTTATAGCTCAGAGCTGGAGCTGACACTAATTAAGTAAAACTGTTCCTCACCTTAACCTTGTGCTGTGGAGAAAGTGTTAGTGCTTTTCTTCAGCTGGGAAATGAGGTCCAGTGGAAAAGTTTGAAATGTTACTGCTTGTTGGACCTGAAACATTTTGATGCGGGATTTTTTTTTTTTTAATTTTTTTTTTATTTTGTCAAGTGCAAAGTTAATATCTGTAAGGAAGGGACTGAGAACTGTGCAAACACAGGAGCAGGGCTGTGAGCACAACTGCTCTGGGTGTGATGTAACCTGCAGCCCTCCCTGTGCTCCCTGAGGAGTACATGGTCCAGGGAGAATCTGGCTCTACCAGTTCATTAGTGACAGATGACAGTGTAAACAGCTGTGTCAATGTCCTAGCTTGAAATATCTGGTAACCTTGAGAGAACATCTCAGTGTCATATGATCAGATGCTGAGTAACCTGCAGAGGTAATTCATCTAAGTATTCCTTGTTCCTGGCTCTTTTACCTGCTGAGTGAACTGTGGCTCAGTTATCTGTCCTAGTGCTGGGGTTAGCACTGTTGGTACTCTTGTAAAGGTACAGCACGAGACTCATTGTGGTAGGACTGGTCTAGAAACGTGGGCAGTGGGGAGTAGTGGTTCCTCCTGGATGTGTTTCACATTACAGCCTTTTCAATGGAGGGCAACTTTCAGTTCCCCAAATGAAAGGCTGACACAGCAGCAGATGAACTGGCTGGTTATGAACTGGCACATTGTCACTGAAGTCAAGAGAGCCTTCCCAGCTGACATTTCAGAGTGCAGGCAAATGGGTACTGATCTCTGAAAGTAGGATGGGAGTTTGTTCATCTGAATACTGTTGGGGCTTGGTCTGTCCTCCTGTAGTGTGTGTACTGTGCATTAATAACTAGCACAAGGATACTGCTGCTCAAGAAGAGCTGTCAAAGGCTGGCTAAGATGGGAAAGAGGCTGCAAAGATTGATGGGAAATGAAGGTAAAGTAGGGAGAATCAACTGGAGAAGATGCAGGCTGTCTAGAACTGGTGTCTGCTCCTGACCTACCTCTGTTTGTCTTTGTAGCTGACTTCGGGTTTGCCCGGTACCTGCAGAACAATATGATGGCAGCAACACTGTGTGGTTCACCTATGTACATGGTAAGTGTGATTTTCTGTGTTGTTCTTGCTTTGCTCCCCAAAAGGAAGGCTTTGTTTTTATCTAGTCTTTCCCCCAGAGGTGAAATTTTGTTTACTTGCCAGAAATGAGCTGTTGCACAGGGAGATTCCTGAAGTTGTGGCTGCTGGTAATGTCAGGCACCTGCTGTCTATGTTGTCATGTAACTTCCAGGTGAGATATGGATAACCATGCTTCCAGGATGGCTGCTTAGACTGTGAAACTGATGTGTATGAGAAACCAAAGTGATCCCTTTTACCTTATTTCTACTTTCCACTCTGGGATCACGTTGTGATGAGGTGATCTCTTATTTGTGTTCATAGCAGCAGCCAAGGTCTTGGTGTCACATCTAGTCAGTGAAAGGAAAAATGAGAAAACCAGACAGAAATAAAAATGTCAAAGCCAGACTTGTAGTAGTTCCTGGGGATGTGGGTGTCTGAGCTCAAAGTAAAAAGGTGATGTGAGTCAATTTAGGTTGAAGTTTTTTACAGGTGCCCTGGGGTAAAAGGCACCTCATTTCAAACACAGTCTAATCCAGTCTTTAAGTTTTTTGTCTGTGGTCTTTGGGCAGAGTTAGGTTGGACTGTGCTGCACTGCACAGGCGTAGTGCATTTGGTAGCCTGTTCCACAGAACTACCTCAAGCAAAACACACTTCCTCTCTCTCCCTTTTTTGAAGCCTTTTTTTTTTTTCATGTTTATTTGAACTGTGCTATATGTGAAGATGATGTAACTCTCCTCTCCTGTGAGAGTTTCCTGAATTGTCTATTTTTAGTGATACTTTTTCTTTCGGAGTCTCTTGTGAAAGTAATTGAAAACACACAGCTTATTTTCTGAAAGGGCTGGAGGAAACTAGTGATGATATTTCTTACAATTTGTTTTTTATTTTTATTTTAAACAACACTGGATGTTAGAAGAAATCTCAATGTTTCATACTGTTCTCTGTTTATTGATGGGTTTGAAGGAAGATGGGAAAGGAGGGTTCAGTTGGGATTAAGGGAGGGTTTTGAAGTCTCCCTACTGCTATTGTGGGTCTTGTGCAGGAGCTCTGGGAACATCTGCTGGTAAGGCAGGGCTTTATTCCCTGCTTTAGCTACAGCCTATTGCTGCTTTATTTCATTTTGCTCTTTAAAAAAACCCAGATATTTTACCTCTACCAAAAGGAGCTTTCTGTCTGAACCCCAGTATGATCCATGCCATGGCAAGACTTGAAATCTTGTGCAGTTCTTGTCCTGCTGCTTTGGCTTTTTTTGGTGTCATGCCTCCTTCCCTTAGGGACAGACTGAGCTCCTATCCACAATTTACTTGTTGCCATTTTTTTTCCATTACGTGTGGCCTTTACTTCTAACAGAGCTAAAAAATTGATCCTGTTCCATGCTGGCAGCACTGCAATGAAATCTGTAGTTATAAACACGTGGGATTAGCCAGCCTGCCCTCCTGTCCCTCCTCTGCTGCTGCTCCTCAGGCTCTGCCTGCTGAGCCAGGGGCTCTGGGGGCTTGCACTGTCTCCAGCTTTTGGAACGAGCCTGGGAGGGACAGCTGAGGGCACAATGAGAGATTAGAAACCTGAGTCTGAGGCACAGCAGGGCTCAAGCTGTTGGACTGGATCACTGCCTTTAAACCCAAGCTGTGACCTTGGCATCAGGCCCTGGAGCTTAATTAATGTGCTGCCATCTTGGGCTAAATGAGAGAAGTGCCCAAGTGGTGCAGCCCAGGATGGAGGCTGGAGTTTACTGTGCAGTGGCAGCCTTTGCTGCTCTTGATCTTGCTCCTTACTTTGGTTGAGGAGATCTGTTTGTGATTTCAGTGGGGCTTCTTCTGGTGGATTCAGCAGAAAATGGTACACTGGGAGAAGGGGAAGTACTGAGTTTGCCCAAAATAAACAATATTAGTATGTATTTTTGTCTTCTGAATGAAAGTCTCTGCTTCCCCTTATACAGGGAAGTGGTTCTTTCAATATAGTTATAGTCTTATTGGGAGTAAATCTTTCATGGTTACTGGGGAATCTAGCTCAAGAGGTTTTATAGCATAATAGTGACTTATCTCTCTTGGAGATGTTAAAAAAAAACAAACCCACCAAAACTACTTCTTTTATAAAAGAAATGTTGTTTCTCTCCCCCAAAAGGCACCAGAAGTCATTATGTCACAACACTACGATGCCAAAGCTGACCTCTGGAGTATAGGAACCATCATTTATCAGTGTCTAACAGGAAAGGCTCCCTTTCAGGTGAGTTGCTTAGATTTGATGACTCTCTCCTGCTTTTTTAAATCTCTTATCTTTTCCTTCTAATCTGGTTTCTCTAAGGCTTCTGTCATCTCTAATATCAACTCGCCTAGATTCAGCCTCATGAGGGTCTGACTGTCCCAACACCTTGACAGTGTTGTGATTTATAGTTTGTAATGCAGGATGTGTTACTAGAATGTGACTCTTCTCTGGGTTGTCTCTCAGTGAAATGTATTTCCCAGTTATAAGAGCTTAGGAAGGGTCACCTATTGAGAAAATTACCCTGAATCAGTTAAAGCAGTGGGGCTTTTTTAGGACTACACTTAGAAAATCAGTTTCTATTTACAACCGTAGTCGGTGTATAATTCATAATTATGATTCTGTTGGATATGAAAGGACTATAAGAAAGATGGTAATTGCAAGTTAATGTTCAGGATTATTTGTGGTAAGTAGTGTATTGCATCTAAATCAACTTGTTTTTCAGAGCAGTTAAGTGGGATAATATCAAAAGGATCTTATCTATCATCTCACAGCAATCTCTTGCAGCCTGAAATGTTTATGTTCATCATATCCAAACCTCTCCAAATATAACACAGCCCTGTAAAGCTCCACCCTGTACTTAATGCCATAATTTCTGGATGAGCTACAGCATATCCTTTGTGAACAGCATTCTCTCATTTTAAGTTTTTGAATGATGGAGAATTCACCACAGCCTTATGCCTGTTGCTTCAGAATACTTCACATATTTTTCATCATCTATATCTGGAATTCATCTAGATTCAGTGTATTTTTTTCATTAGCCACACTGTGTGCTACTTTACATCTGCCATCTCTGACTGAGATCAGCAGATTCTCCCTTGAAATTACTGTTTTTAAGTATTGTATTTGTCAGAATTCCCCCCCTTGCTTTCTGGTCCTCTCTTCTTATGTCCTGACATCCCTTTATCCTGATTCTCTAACAAGATAAAATGGAAAATATCCCAAGCAAACACTGAAAAATTAATAAAAAGGAAACAAAAACAAATAGCACAAAAGAAAGTCAGAGGGAAATAAATGCTCATGTAATAAGGCAAACTTTATGAAGTGAAGGACTTTATGAGCTTTAGTTCCACAGCTCTTTAGGATTTCACACAAGACCTGGAATGTTTATGCAGTTACATCATCGGGGAGGATAAAATGAGTTCGAAATCTATTGCAGGAAAGAGTGGGCAAATACAGGAGTAAAGTAATGGTATGTTTTGGTTTTGTCTAGAGCCAAAAACACTTCTTTCCTTCAGGGTAATTTTTTCCCTGCTGCTATAAGAATCTTCCACTCCAATGCTTTATATTCTGTCCACCAGCTTCCTCTGTATTTAGAGCAAAACTTCATTTCCTTTGCATGTTACTTTTTTTTATAAACCCCTACAAAGTGCACTGAAACTTCTGAATGGCTTCTGTTTACTGGCTGCATCCACTTGTTATCAGTGCTGGTATCTTTGTTTGAGAGGAGAAAATGACTGCTAGGATGAAAGAAAATAAATACTTGTGTGTTAAGAAGAAAATGTGGAAGAGGAGAAAGCAAGCTTTGACTGCATGCATAGGGGAGCCTGGCACAGATTCTCCTTTGTATCTTGGTGCCTTTTTGTCTTTAAAGGCACCTTGATACTTACTCATTGAAATTATTTAATGACTGTTTAATGTGGTGACTTTATCATAGGAGTTGTCTCTGATTGAGGCATGGCAATACCCTGCCTGGGAGTGGGCAGTGAAGGGACACTTCAGTCCCTGCCCAGCAGTTCCTGACCTTGCTTTGTGCTTGCCTCATTAGATAACTCTGTCCCATAAACATCTGTTGGGCTGGGAATGGGGGTTATTGGTTTCTCTATTTCAGTTTAGCCCACACCCTTTCCTCTTTTGGAGGTCATACTTTGAAGCAAAATGCCAGGCCCTGTTTGTGACTGCAGTAGCAGCTGTGGATGTGTTTGATCAGAGAGAGAGAGGAGCTCAGCCCAGATGGTTCTTTGTCCCCCATCTATTTGTTTTGGCCATGCATGTCACAAACTGCCTTCCAGCTTGAGATCCAGGTGAAAGAAGCCTGTCTAGGGGAAGCTGGTTAAAGGTTAACTGGCCTTCTGTCTTTTTGTTGGCATGACTGTTGTAAAAATTTGCTGATGGTCACTGAGCAGGCAAGAAGCTGTTGTGTACAGGGCTTTTAGGAGAAAAGAGGGGTTGTGGACAGAGGTGATGGCAACACCATGAATAGGAATGGGTGCATTTGGGAGGGATGTCTTCCAATGGCTGGGAAGAAAACAGGCAGATTCCACATGGTGCCACCTGCAGACCCAGTTGTACAGGGAAGCCAGGAACTGGATTTCTGGGTGAACCTCTTTGGGCTCAGTCCTCACCGTGCCTTCCCTCCTAGGCTGGCAAAGACAGCCCCTTATGTCTGTCTAGCTGAGATTCCCATGGGAATCTGGGGCTCAGCTGAATGAAACATGCTGTGTTTGGGTGCTATGGCTGTCACTGCCTGAGCCAAGGAGGCACCTTCAGGAGGATGCAAAGAAAAAGGACTCCAGTGTTATCTGCAGGGAGGAAGAATGAGCTGCCTAAAAATAAAATAGGGCTTCGGGGAAATGGGTTAGATGGAAAAAAGATCAAATGTGTGGAAAGGCTGAGGTAGCTGTCAATCCTGAAAGTGCTTGTAAATCAAGTCAGAGATGTGTGTATATGTGTGAATGTGATTTCTGGCTGTCTCAGAGTTAATTTTAACTCTAGCTGGGTCACCCAAGGCAATTTCCCAGAGCCATTCCTGTCCCTTCCCTGCCTCACTGCACACAGACAAGAAAGAAGCTGCTGATGCTCAGATGTGAACAGTTGGTAGGATGGCTGGTGAAGCTTTCTTAAGGAGCTTTTTGTATTAAACATACCCATAAACAAAACAGTGAGACTGCCATAGGGATGAGATTAATGGGATTCATAATCCCTATAAACAGATTTGCTGAGTGCTGTATTAATGTGGAATTGTTAATTTGCCTTGCCTAATAAGTGGTCTGCACTCACATCTCTGCATTTCTGTTGCTGAGGATAGGACTTTGGAACAGTGCATTTCCTGCTTCTGCTGACCAGAACTGGGAAGTGTCTTGGGAATGTAGTGATTTGCTCTTGTCCTTACCTGAGTTGAAAAGATTGGGACCCCGTGCCCACCATGAGGTGGTGCTGGCTCTGTAAACAAGTGACAACCAGAAGCAAAGCTGGAGGCAAGAGAAGAAAGATTTACACAAGGTCTAAAACAATCCAAAACCAATCTAGTCCTTGTCAGATGGTGTTTTAAATATGATTAGTTAAATGACCTCAATCTCCTTTTTCTTTTTTTTTTTTCTTTCTGTGTGGGAGGAATCACACTGAGATTTCTGGTGGCTTCTGTTGTGTGACCCCTTTTAAATCTGGGCGGCTCTTGGTAAGCAGACACCCCACTGAGCACATGCAGATTGTGTCAGAGCTGGCTCTGGCAGTGGCAATGGGACATCAGATCCTGCTAAGCACCACGAAACCTGGTTGTCTGCTGTCTGAGCCTTTGCATGAATCTTGAGCTTTCTGTGGACATGGTGCCCTGTGTCTGGGGGAGAGTGAGCCTAAGAGCAGGGGACTGACAAGAGAATTAATGCAAGTTTTTCTGCCTGATCTGGCAGCTCTGAAAGAGTTAACCTGCCTGTTTATGTTCTCATCCCAGCTAGCTGTTAGGTGAAAAATTAATTTCTAAGTCTGGTGTACCAAGTTCACTGCTTCAATTCTGAGTTAATTCTGTCTGCATAAGTACTAGGATTATGTATCATTTACAGCAACTGCTATGTTGTGAAATGCCTTGAGGAACACCAGGAAAGGCTGGATATTATGCCAAGAATTTGAACCCCTGGTTTATTTGTTAGGCAGCTTGCTCTTTTGTTCTCAGCTCTGTTCCTCTGGAGTGCCCTGTGTCCATGGGGACAGAAATTCCTGGAGCTGGTGGTAATTCTGCTGAGACTGGGTGCAGTGATGGACTTGTTGCTGTAGTCAGTGATCCACTGGCTTTTGAACCAGTGTTTGTGGGTCTTACTGTGCTCTTTTGGCAGTAGAGAGAAATCCATGGACTGCTAAAGAAAAAGGTTCAGGGGTGCGTTTTTTGTTTGCTTGTTTCTGTTCCTTGGGCTTTCAAGTCCTCTGAATGCCAGCCACTTAGCTGTGGGAGTCTTACAATATCAGGAAGTATTTTCAGCAGGTTTTCAAGCTTTTCCCTAGAGCTACTGAGCTAGAAACAACGTTACTTATTTATTTTTTCTTTCCAACATATCCGAATCCCGTTTCTGCACCTCTAAATCCCCAAGGAAAGAATTCAAAGAGCAGGGCAGATACCATACACCTGCTATGGAGTGTTAAATAGAAAGGGCTCTTCAGGGAAGGTGTGAAACTCTGGCCCTCTTCTGTCTGAATGTTGGACTTTGGCATCCAGCCGTGGCCCAAGCATGACAAATCCACTGCTGAGTGCTTTTGGGAGCAGCACCCTGCCTGGTTTTCACATGCAGTTCACTTCCAGGCAGCCAGCACTGAAGGGGATTTGGCAGGGTTCTGCTGAATGCCTTTGTTGGCTCAACATATTTCCACTGCTGCTCAGGACAAAGTAACAGAGTGGCAGGATTGAATTTGTCCAGTTGCCTCTATATATAGAAAGGGTAGACAGAACCAAAATGCAGCTGCTCCCTAGGGACATGAAAGGGGGTGAACTGACCTGCTAGTGTGCTCTCCTGGCCTTAGGGCAAGCTGAGCTGTTCTGCATCCCTGGTTCTCAGAGATGGGTGCTGTCCCACAGGTAGAAGTTGTACCTCTGAACCTTGAATGGTCTGGTTGTAACGTTCCTAAAATGTGCTTTTTCTGGTGTTTTTCTTGGGCAGGGTGTATCTGCCTGGAAGGCAAATTTCAAATTAAGCTCATAGCTTCCTAGACGAGGGAATTCAAGTGACATTTTTACTGTGTTACATACATTTCTGGGTTTTTTTTTTCCATGATTCTTAGAGAAGCACCTTTTATTGAAAGGGGAGGTGGCTGAGGCTCCTAGTGCTTTATGAATTGTATGATAGCAAGAGAGCAGTGGACAGGTTACTGGGAGCAGAACTGTATGACTCAGTCAGTTAATAATGAAGTTACACGAAGATGCAGTTGTTTTCACCAAATTAATGGTGATCCATGGCTGTGTGTGCTGGGCACTCACTGGAGTGACTCCCTTCCCCTGGTATCTGCACTGGGGACCAGCCTTGAATCACAGGCTCTGAGGACAGCCCAAGTGAGGGAGTGTGGTCTGGGTGGGGAGGAGCCTGGTGTGGTCCCTGCAGAGCAAGTGGGGATTGTACTGACACAGCAGAATGTGAGGAACAGCATCCCTCCAGGGACGTCTCTTGAATTTGTACAAAGAGGAGGAAAACTTCATTGAGAATTTTGTTTGTGTCCAAGCTGGTGCTTAGAAACCTTCTCTAATGAACTGGTCTTCATATATATGCTGCTTTGAATATACTCTCTTTATTGCCAGGAAAATTTCTGACAAAGCAGTGTTTGAAGTAGATCAGAGCTTCATTGTATTTGTGAAACAATTGAGCTGTTGCAACAGGAAATGACCAGAGCAAACAGCCAAGGCTTGTATCTCTCTGAAGAGATCTCTCCCCATGTTCTGCCCCCTCCTTGCACGTGGTACCTGTCAGGAATATTTGTCATCACTCTGGGCAATGTGGCCAGGCCATTTAGTGCAAGTGTGTCGGCTTGCCTCCCTAAAGTTTGCCAAATATTAATCTAATTACATTCCAAGACCTGCGAGGGGAAGGTGTAAAAAGGAGTTTTCCTGAATTAAAGTGTGTGGCAGCAGTTGGAAATTTTGATGCAGTTTGGCATCTGTGTAACAAAGTGCTCTGCTTTAATTTTGATGTTTTTTTGGTGTAGCTTCTGTTGGTAAGACTGTGTAAAAAACACTGCCCTGATGAGTACTACACGAGTGTGTTGATACTATCAGCTTTTGAGACTACCTTTGGTTTCTCTTGAGGTTTTTTTTACTGAGCTCTCAGTTATCCTTAATTTTCATCTTCAGCCAGAGGGAGTAGGTGATGTTGAAACAGCATCTTATGTGGCTGCTTTTCCAGCCATACCGTGTTAGTGGTATTTTGATGACCATCTGCAGATTGGCCTGTCTGATTTGCCATTTTAAGCATCTTAATTGACCTTAAATGCTTCTAATTTAGAAAGAGAAGTAGGTGGAAGGCCCGAGGGATTTTTGAGCCTGCCCTGAACATCAGGAGAAGCTGCCTGTTGCCTCCTCATTCACACTTTCCTACACACTCGACTGCACTAATAATTGATTGCAGATGAATCCCTCTGATCTTCCTGCCCTGTTTATGTGCCTTCATGTCTGTATCGTGCCAGCCAGCCTGCTCTGCCTTTAATAAAACACCTTTGCCTAAGCAGAAAAGCTTGAGACACTAGGGTTAATTTACTGGCCTGTATTCATTTCATGAAAACAAATGGAGAATTTATATTAGGGGATTTTTATGTGTCTGTGCTTGTCTACTGGTGATTTTATTTTTAACCTCAGCTGTAAACCTCTTGTGCCTAGCCCCCACCTTTTTTTTTAATCCCATCTCTCAGAATTTGGAATCTTGTCATTAACATCCCTCACAGTTGTGTACATTACTGCACAAATAAAATAGGAGCTCTGGCTTGAGGCCTTCTGGCTTCCTGGAACTAAAGTAGAAAATCCTAATTCAGTTGCTGTTTCTCCATGTTCCTAGCCTCTTCACTGATCCCTTGCACATCAGGAGGCTCCCTGCCCCTTTTCTAAATGCCCTGCAGCATTAATCCATGCTCTCAGCAGGATCTGTCACTCATCATTTGGGACTCCTTGCATCTACAGTTATTTAGTCTCCTGGGTGAGGCTATTAGGCCAGCTCAAACCTGAGCATCAGAGCCCACTGCAGTGAAGCTCAGCCTGTGGAAGGGTAGAACAGGACAGAACCAGGTCAGACAAAATGGCAGCAGGTTGAAATACTGTATTTTCATTGCAGCACAGGGCTGGCTTCTCAATCTAAAGCAAGCTGCAGGTTCTCATTGTCTTTGGTGGTCCAGCAATTAAAAAGTGCTTCTGCTCTTCAGAACTACAGTGAAACAGAAATGCTAATCCCTTTCTTTCATTATCAACTGCTTCATGTAGTGGTTTCTTTCTCCCCTACAGGCCAGCAGCCCACAGGATCTCCGCCTCTTCTATGAGAAAAACAAGATGCTGATGCCCAAGTAAGCACTTTTCCAGTGTCAATGTTTGTAGGCACTTGTTTACTCCGTGTTTACACCTGTCCTTGCATGCTCCTGGCTTGTCACTTGGGGGGAGGTGACTAAAATATTTGGCCTCCTGCCTTTCCCCATTCCTTAAACCAGCAGTGACGTGGCCCAGAGAAAGTCCGATGGCAGCAGATAGCCAGGGTTGGATGTTCTGTCTCTCTGCAGAAAGAAAGGGATGTTCTGTCTCTCTGCATTGCAAAAATCCAGAACTGTTAGTGATGCCAAGACCCAGCTAGAGGTCCTGTTCCACACATGGCTCCCCTGAGGCTGAGAGCCTGGGGAAGAACTCAAGGCAATTCTGGGATCTGCTGTAACCTGCCATACCTGGCTGCAGATCACATTCCCATTTCTCACGTGTCAGGGCAGCAACTGCTTGTGTCCATCCTGCTATTGGGGAAATACTATAACCTCCCTGGAAATGGACACTGCTGCAGTTTCCAGGGGGAAGAGAACTGCTCCCATCCCAACAGGGTATATGTTACCTCTCTGCTGTGATTTGTCAGGGTATTTTGGTTTTGTTGCTGTGGTCTTTCCTTTTGATTTCTGAGCTCTGAAAGCAGAAGCTTATGCTGGCTCTGAAAACCTCAGCCTGAGGTACAGAGACAAGGCTAAAGTTCCAGATTATATATCTAAAATCTCGATGGCCTTTTTTAACCAGAAAGCTATAGCTCCCAGTTGGCAGGACTGCTAATGCAGCTATATATGCAGGAAGTTCATTGGGTTGCTGTATATGGATTTTTCTTTTCCCTTATCAGTTCAGACAGCTCCAAGAGATAACTTGGAAGGAACTGTCAAGAAGCTGGAGCTCTTATCAATGACTTGTGATATGCAGTTAATTTCCCTTTAAGTACTTCCTTTTTTGATTTGGGGAGAAGGTACAAATTTCAGGGATTGCCTGGGGATTACCACAGAGATTGCCCACAGGATTACCTCTAGGGCACCTGGATTGAACCAGAGGGTGTGATGGAGTAAAATACCTGAAAAGAAACAATTTAAAGCAAAAATGTGACTGCATAGTTGGAATCAGTCTGTGTGAGTAGAAAGTAGAACTTTTGTTTTTCCTCCAGAGCTCAAAACATGACTGCCCCTCTTACTAAATGAGAAATTAATCCATACAATTAATAAATTTTCTTGTGTCGATCCCACTGCCCTGCTGTTGTTTTGCTCATGGTGCAGACGAGGGGAGAAATGAAACTCAGCTGTAAGAGGAGAGCATGTCTGTTCTTGTAGGGATTAGTCCTCCTGGAGTCCTTCACACAGTCTGCATTTGCTATTTTCACTTATCTGCACTTTGAACTACCAAATGCTTCCAAAATTCAGATCCAAGCTGATTGTTTTTCTCACTGTGGAAGTCGGATCTGAACTGGCCTTTGTGTAAATGGCAATTCCTTCTTTCCAAAGTCAGTTTGTCTCTTTAACATGGGGTGCAATCTGTGCTATTCCTGAGTAAACATGAATAAACTGCTTGAGTGCCCTGCCAGCACAGGATGAAACACAAAACTACTCCAGAGACCTCCTTCTCGGACTGCAGCAGTGCCAGGATTTGTTTTCATTTTTCTTGGGGCTATGCAGGCTGGCACACACTTCCTTGCCATGGCCTGGGAAAGTGTTTTGGCTTGAGAATGGAGTGGGGAAGTGGTCCCTGGCTGCAGGCAGGTGAGGAGATGCTGTTCTGAACATTCTGGGGAGCCCATGGCAGGAGAGGCCCGAAGGCCCCACAGTTTTAATAGTGCTGATCTAAATCATTAATATTCATTGTGCTGGTTTGCATTGGAAGTACTTCCCAGGTCATGGGGGAAAAGATGCAGATTGTTGCTTATGTTTAAAAAGATGGTCCTAGAAAATAATGCTGAAGGGTTACAAAGCCTGCTGCTTTGGACATGGGAGGTAAGAGGAGACAAACAGGCTGTTAATCTGCACCCTGTTCATCTGTGTTGTGCCATCTGAAGTCCATGAGTTGATGTACCTGTTTCTTGGCTTTAAAACCATACCAAGGCTAAAGTCAGAGTTGGGAAATGGACTCATTTTGAATGAGAGCTTTATGTGTCACAGATAAATAAATGATGATGATAACCCTGCAGGGCTGCAGGACTCCAGCACTGATGCATTTTTCAGGAGGCTGCTTGCTGTGGTATCTTTGGGTTATTCCATTACACAGAGTGTTTCCAAGGGGCTCCTCTTTTGATGGGACTCAACCTGAGTCTGTCTCACTGCATCCCTTCCAGAGTCCTGGTGGCCTCCTCCTGTGTCAGCCTCAGAAGGTACCCAAAACCATTGTAGCATCAGGGGTGGAAAAGCACCTCTTCCAGTACAAACAAGGATAAGGGATGCTTGCCATCATTCTCTGTTCTTGGAATTGCCAGGTTCAAATTCCTGCCCTAGCACGGCCTAGGGCTTCACAAAAAAATAACTGGGTGGTACTGAAATGTGTAAGCACATAGCTTGCCTCCCCTCTCCTGTTTCTCTGAACAGGAGTCTGGTAGTGCTAGCTAGCACACTTCTTCCCCCCCACTATTTTTGGGCTAGGTTCTGTTTTAGCCCTGTCAGTGGCAGGGTGTGTTGGTGAAGATGGTATAGGAAAGGCTTTTTCTCCCAGCATTTGTTGGGCTTGGCCGCAGGGCAGTGACTGATGCCAGAGCCACGTGCAGAGCCACTGAGAGCTAAAATTACTGTACTGGGTGTACATGTCATTACCTCAGCTGACCCAGTGTGGGGAGAGGGGAAAGCCTGGCAGAGCGTGGGGGCCATGCTGGGAACAGCCATGATAAAACAGTTAATACTGAGAGGAGCTGCAGCCACCCACGCTTCACTAGGAGAGCTCTGTCCCAGCCCAAAGCCCCCAGCAGCACTTCTGGGGATGGAGGGAAGTCAGCAGGGCTGAATCTACTTATGCAAGAGCTGAACTCTGCTTTCCGTGCCTTAATCCATTCGTTTATTCCCTGCATTTTTCAATCTACAGGGGTTATGAAGAGCTGCCCTGGCCTCTTCCCCATCTGCTTGTGGGGTGAGGGAAAGCACAGTGCTTTACCAGCTCTTTTGTATTTCAAAGGCTGTTGAGAAGAATATTTTCTTCCTAACTGTGCTGAAAAGTGAGGTAATAACTGCACAAATTTTAGCTTGATGAGGTGGCAGTTGCTTACATTTTAGTGGCCTTCGATTAATATATGCTGTATATCAAGGAAGCAAATAGACAAAGGTTACTTGCTAGTGTAACATAAGCTGCACTGAAAAATAAATGCCTTAATAAAATGGTAGTAATTGGTGATACATTTCACCACCAGTGTCTTAATTGGAAGCTTCCCCTTGGAAACTGCTTTGTTCTAGTGATCTTATTCCCATTAGAGCAAGTAGGCGTGATTTTATTTATTATGTGTGAAATACTGCAAGTGGAATGGGCTTAGCTGAGCACCAGAGGGATGACATTGTGAAGGGAATGATCTGCAGGCGCTCATGAGAGAGGTCACTAAAGCAAAATTAGCTGTAGCCTGAACAATGGCAGTGGGGAGTGAAAGCCAGAGATGTAAAATAGAGACATTTCTGATCAGCCTCCTCCAGTGAGCTCCTGGTGTTCCTGGCCCAGCAGGCTTGGAGTGAGTTTGCGTTTGCCAGTTGCCTTCCTGAATATGTAAAAGCTGTTTAAGTAGACTGCAAATCTCTCTTACTTTGCTTTTGTTTTCAATCCTAGCATCCCCAGGGAGACATCAAGCCACCTGAGGCAGCTCCTGCTGGGCCTCTTGCAGCGTAATCATAAGGACCGCATGGACTTCGGTAAGATTTCCTTCCAGTTTAAGTTCTGCTGCCTGCCTCTCTGTCTCTTGGCACTGAACAAGCCTCTCTACTTCTGGCTGGGGCTAGGAGAAGCATCCAGACACCTGGATTTCACCTGTGCCTGGAGGGTTGCATAATCTTGAGAGTTTTAGTTTATATGCTAGAAAGGTCAGTGCTGATTTCAGTACAGTTTTGTAAACCAAGGAGACTTGGCACACTTTCAGCATATTTTTGTTACTTGCATTCCCTGTCCTGGCTTCTTCTTTTATATCTCTCTGAGCTGTGGTTAAGTGTGCTACTAGGTAAAATGTGTCTTGTGTCTCTGTGCTTTTCTGTCACAGTTCCTTCTCAGAGCTGCAAGCTGCATTCATTTACTGAACAATCCAGTCACTATCTCTGTTTCTCAGGGTTTGCTGTGATAATCTGAGCCAGGAGATGTAGCTGCTTGCAGACCCTTCCCTCCTTCTCCAGTTTCTGTGGAAGGAAGCCTTGGTCCTTCTCAGGGCTCAAGCTGGCAATCTCCAAGCCTTAGTCTCAGTCTCTGATTTGGCTGACATGAGGATTTCCTTTTTTGTCTTAGTTCCTTCTAAGCTGAGATCAATCATTGTGAGCCCAGAGGTTCTGGCTTGGCAGCCTCTTACAGGTGTGTTTTAGCTGAGCTCAAAGGTCTGAAGAACCTCCTAGGAAAGCCATGCCCTAGAGGAAAGCAGACAGAGGTGGAGCCTTTCCATGAGTCACTGAAAGGGCCAGGTCATCTAAAAGCAAACATGTCCTGTGTGTGTTCAGGATGCTTTTTAGTCAGACTTGGAGTAAAAGTTTGACATTTCTGGGGTTTGAGAGTTGATTTTCTGTTGGGTTTTTGTTTGCTTATTAGCTCAGGTGGATTCTTCCCTGCTGGGCAACATATGCTAGGTGATGAAGAGGAATTGTTTTGCACCTTCTGTTACTCTTTTGGATTAGAGATACCAGGAAAGCCTTTCTGGGGATGGTCAGCTGGGGAAGCAACTGTGGATTACCCGAGGTTGATCATAGTTATCCAGTGATGAATGCAAAGGACTGGTTACTGGGGTGTAGAAGTGAGAGAATGAGCCTTTTGAAAAATGAGTTATTGAAGCTCCTGACAGACTGGCTTGGATAGAATCACCTGGCAGGGTTCTTCCCTGCAGATCTTTCATCTGGGCTGTGGATCTCTATCTCTTCTATCATGCTGCTGTGCACTTCAAAAGAAGGTATCTTTGAGGATCTTGATTCCCCGCTGTCAGAAATTGTCTGGCAAACCTTTTTTACCCCGTATAAACTGGTTTTGTACCTCTTGGGAGTAGAGTGCATGAGTCCATGTCTAACACTTGGAAATTTGAGATAGGAGATTTTGATATCACTCTGGACAACAGTTACAGTACATCTTACATTTTTCCTATTTATCCATATTTATCGATATATTGGCATGTCCCCAGAGGAGAGGGGTTCCTGCTGTTCCTTGTTCCCTGAGACTGTCTGCTTGGAGATGTCACAGTGAGCTCCACAGAGCTCCCCTGGGGCTCAGTTGAGTCACACAACAGCAACTCATCAGCTTGAAACTTCATATACTTACTGTGTCCCAGCTGCTGTTCTGCCAGGAACTGATGCTCTCTGCAATCTCAAGATTATCTAGAGGAAAACCAGGAGGGTTTTAAATTTCAAGTTTCCTGCTGATGATTACAAGCTGGGTTGTTTAACTTTTGCTTTGCAAGCACAGCTAATAAGCAGTTTGGAACATGGAGGGGGAAAAGTGAAAGAAATCATCATTTCCACCCCCTCAGTTGAGTCAGCTTGGCTGAGGGATGGTACCCTCCTCTAGTGCAGCAAGCTGAAAAAGAAGCAGGAAACCTCAGCAGCTGAGCAGCTCCCACAGGATGGGGATGTTGTCGATCCACAGCAGATCTAATCTATGATTCCAGTTTTCCCTGCCAAAGATTTCCATTCCCTGTCTTGAGCTATGCTCCAGACCACTGCACTCTGGCTGCAGGACCCTGGCATGGCAGTGGTGAGGAGAGGCTGGGGAGACAGGGATTGTTTATGGTTTAAAAGCAGACAAACAAAAAACCCAGTGACTACTTTCAGGAAAGCTCAGTTTCCAAAGAGGAGCTGTTTACAGAAGAAGTTTGTAAACCTTGGGTGTTGCTACAGGAAATCCATTCTGGGAAAGAAGCTGAAGCTCAGTAATCAGTGTTGATCCGTGGCTGACACTCCCAAAAGACTGAGTTGCTGATTGTGATAGGAGAGGGCCCTGGCACAAAGCTGCAGTGAATCAGAGATGGAGCTGGGAGAAGTGGCTACTTGTGAGGACAGGCAGACATGTAGAGAGTGTTCAGCAAGCCAGGACAGAAGCTTTTCTTGGCCTGGATCTGTAGAATGAATTCCCATAATGAAGGGAGGAAGCAGCAGTTGTGTTTGATGTGAAAGGAAGGGAGTTCTGGACTGTGGTTCTGGGGTATCCCATTAAAAATGCATTTCTGCCCTCAGTGTATGATGGATTTGAGTCCGTGTGTCGTGGAAAGTCACTCAGTGGAAGTCTTTTTATCCATCATTCCTATTCCATGGAGTGAGTGGCAGTGCACTATGATAAATACAGCTTCCCTGCATGCCTACATTTAAGGTGATTCACCATCCTGATCAGCCAGAGATCCAATTCATTTCCCATCCTTTTTTCATGAGCAGGTCCTGCATCCAGTCTCCAGCCTGTATTCTTGACCACTTCTATATGCAACCATAGTCAGTCAGCTTCCATTGTTGCACGGAAAAATCACTGTATAACACTGTAACTTCCTGTGCTTTAGCTGCTATGTAAACTTCTTACAGTCATTTTCTTTCACTGAGTCATTGTTCTTGACTTTTTTTTTTTTTTTTTTTCCAGATGAATTTTTCCATCACCCATTCTTGGATGCAAGTGCCTCTATGAAAAAATGTAAGTATTGTATTTTTGATTACAACTCTTTTTGAATCATGGCCTGACTTCCTCTGCTGTTAGTTCAAAAGGAAAGAAAAGTACTGCTTTATGTTCCCTTAGTTATTTAGGCAGAGATTCAGTGTTTATTACTATATCATGTCCAGATTTTGCCATCAAAATGTATTTAATTTTACTCAGTTATCTTCAAAGGAATGAATGGGGGATATTTAGAAAACTAAAGTAGAAGCAAATGTAGCTTTGAAATGTATTCAGCTGTTTTGTGTGAAATTCTTGGCCAGTGGGGTGCTTGTAGGTACACAGGATTGTGTTTCATGGTCTTGCTTTTCATCCTTATCTGCTGTACCATTCAGGCTAGTGAATGGTGGAAAGTGGCACTCTTGGCCCTGCTTGCCAGGTTGGCTGTGCAAAAGCCAAATGTTGTGATTACCAAATCTTGTTTCATCATTTACATCGAAGTTCTTGATGCATCTTGTTTTAGAAGGGTTACATTTGGCACTCTGTGGGAGCTGGCCAGAACTAAGACAAATTTCCATTGCAAGTTCTCTCTTCCTCCTTTTGATTCCAAACTTTGGAAAAGTTGCAGCCCCACGTATTATGGTTCAGAGGTTTGTTTTGGGTGGAAAACAGTTTAGAATTGCTTCTAAATTGTGCATGGGGCATCATAATCCTTTGGCCAGGAGACTTGGGTTAGTGGAATTGTGTATGGCTGTCTTCTCTGGAGGGATTCTCCTGGACATTTAATCTCCCGAGTAAATGATAGCACCAAGAACCTTCATCAGTGACTAATTTGGGGTGTTCAGTGCAAGGTTTTGGAGGAACCATGTCCAGCACAAACCCCATTTGCCTCTTGGATGTGTGCCATGGGTTAGACACAACTTGTCTGATGCTCACATCACTCCTGACACTCTCTTGCTTTCCTGCTGCCAGAGCAGGACTTCTGAGTTGTCCCTGATGAGATTTTACCTGTGCACTCAGGTGATCGTCCTGCGGGCAAGAAAAGACGCTTCTGGTTTAGGGGTGCTTTCAAAGCAGCCAGGGCCCTAAACCCACCTGTGGCAGCAGGATGTGGGGCCAGCCCTGGAACACGGGGCAGGAAAGGACTCTGGCCCTACAGGGCTGCTCCTAAGCCAGCCCAGCTCCTGGCACCTCCTGTCCTGCACCTGTGTGGGAAAAGCCCTTCGGAGTCTGATCCCCCTGTGGGCAGAAGATCTCCCCCTCAGGATGTTCTTGCATGCCCACCACCTCATCTCCTACCTCCAGCTGTCCCACTGCTTCACTGGCCAGGGGAGCAGAAAACCCCAGAAAAACAGGAGAGGGTTCTCCTGACTTGGCCCCAGTTTCCAGCTTGTGCACGCCTGCTGTGCAGGAACCAGAGGTGCCATTATGAGCAGGAGACTGTAGCTCAGCCTTTGCCCCCCGCTGCACCAAGGTTAATGGTGTGGGGTCAAGGACCAAGAAAAAAAGCACCTTTACAGGCAGGTAAGGCCTATGCAAACTGCAGAGCTCTCTGTCGCCCTGCTGATCCTCACCTCCGGACGTACGTGCACAGCCTGGAGTCCTCTCCTGGCAGGAGACACTGCTACTGGTTTTGAAGACAGATTTATGGAATGCTGTCTGGCATGGCAGTGGGCTTGACCCTTGCACAGCTGTAGCTCTAGTGTGTCTTGGCAAGGCTGCAGTTCTCAGGGGGTGGCTCCCCTGACTCTTGAGTCCAAAACTTTGCTGTGCTTCTTCATCTCAACATGTGGCTCAGCATCGCGAGTGTAGGAAATACCAAAGAGAAGAAGAGCTGCATCTGGACCATGCTGGTCGTGCTCAGACTGAATTAGAGCCCTCAGACCTGCAGTGGAGAGCTGGGGAAGTGTGCCTTGTGTTCTTGCTCTCCTTGAGAGCTGATAATTAGCTAACACTAAGTCATTCACATCTGAGTCTTTTTAATGCAATGTAACTTTGGAATTCTGGAAAACTAGTGTGTCCATCATTCTCCAGGTGGATCATTTTGAAGCTGCTAAGGCAGGGGTATCCCCCTTGTTGAAATACATTTGCATGTTTTTTGAGATCCTTCAGCAAAACCAACATTTCTTTCAAAGATCTTTCAATACAACATTTCTGACAAGCACCTCTTCTTCCCTGCTGTTTTGAGGGATGGTTGTTTTCATGTTCGTCCTCTCATCTCCCTCCCTGAAGACTGGGTTCAGGCCTCTTGGGCTTTGTTAACTAAGATGGTGTACTTTATTTATTTTTGTTTGTTTATTTATAATTTATTTTATATTGTGGGTTTTGTACCTGTGACTAAGCATGTACTTTAGATGTGTAAAAATTTATTAATAAAGTCTTTAAAATGCTGTGTCTAGTCAGACTGTCGTCTGTCTGTAGCCAGGTCTGATCAGCATATGCTATGGGTAGTGTGTTGCAGTAATAACACAGGAGAAGGCATAATTAGATGCTTGTGCAAGTCTTCTCCCAGTAAACACATTGTAATTGGTACCCGTGCAGAATATTTTGGAGGTTTTTCTGCTTCTGCCTCTAATGAATGAGAAGCTGCTGCCTCCTTGACTCTCAGATAAGAGAGCATGAAAGGTGAGCTGTTATGGTTCAGAGTGCAGAGGTGCTTCAGTGTCTGAAATACCTGTCAGGCTTAGCTTGACTTTTGCCATCTTTTTAATGTTATTGTACATAGAATACTGAGATGAAAACTAGAAAAAAGAATCCCCATAACTTGTGCATATAAAATATTTTAATGCTGCAGACTGTTAAACTCTAAAAAGCAGCTTATTTGGACAAGTTCTTTCAGAGTTTGCACTCAAACTTTATTGCCTTGTCAGAGATTGCAATTAAAGATTTTTTTGATGAGTGATTTTAATTGAATCCAGATACACTGGAGAGATGCACTTTCCTGATTATGTAGAACTCAGATTCCAAATAGAGCTTTTCTATAAACCTTCAGGGTTGGATATTTTTAGGACAGCTGAGCCCCTGGTAGGATGATGTGTCAGAAGTTATTTTTACAAGTATAGGATCCAGTATCAGGATCCACACAGCTGGAGCACAGGCTTGCCTTTATGGCTCCCAGCTCTCCCATTTTGAAACCAGTTGGCATTGGTTACACAATGTGCAGGATGACTGTTTTGTTGCTGGAGCAAGTTGGAGAGGACAATTATGAAAACAGACTTATTTACATTACAATTACAATCCAGCAATTTCTGGATTTGGGTGGGGGCCTGCCTACAATTCATGTTAACATTCCCCACATTCAGACTCAACTGAAAACATGATGAGCCAAGTGTTTGCACCCTTTTTAATTTTGAACTGGGAGTGCCTGGGTGTGTGAAGGAGATGGAAACAGTCTTTCTTTCAAGCTGGCCTACATGGCTGACACTGAAAGGTGCCCCGGCAGGGATGTGGAGGTCAGAGAGGGTTTGTTAGAGCCAAACCTCTTGGTTCTACATGCATCAAAGTCTGTTTGGAGTGTCAGGACCTTCTGAGTTGGAGCTCACAGCATTGCAGTGTGAGTTTGAGGAGTTCTAAAGGATTTAAACAAGAACAGTGATTAACAGAGGCTGTATCTAAAGGAGAGCTTCATGCAGCTGAGTTTGAGTTTCAGATGATAATGGCAAAGTCTGCCAGCTTGTCTTCCCTCCTGATTAATGAAAAACTGTGTGAAGCAAATAGTCAAAAATAGAAGTGTCTCAATTCTAGCCAGGTTTAAATCAATAATCACAGGACCAAAATAGACTAGAGGAGACCTTGTGAGAGAACTGGAATTACTCTAACAAAAATGCTTATTCCAGGAAAAATGAATGATGATGCAAGTCTTGCAGCAGGTATCTGTGAATTCAGTAGAGAATTCACTTATCTTTTATTTTAAAAGCACTCTTCCATAACAGGAAGGGCTGTCTGTACACGGGTGAGTCGTTCTGTAGCATCTGGCAGGATAAATGGGAGGAGACCTTTTTTTTTCCCCTCCTTTCTAGTATTTAATCTATAGGGAAGGTCCTAGGGATTGCTCTGCAGGCTCTGTGGGAGGACTGTGGAGATCAAAAGCCCTGTGATAGAGGCAGGACAGAGCTCTTCATTTGACAAGCAAGTTCTCAGGGCTCTGTGTGTGTTCTGAGCATGGGGAGGGAAGGCAGCTGTGTTGGCTGTGGACAGAGTGGCTCTCCATGCCAAGCCCCTGACCGACCTCCCAGAACACCCATCCTCGGGATACCTCCATCCCTGCTGCTGTACAGGAGCCAGGGCAGTGTGTTACAACAGCACAGCCCTTCAGGGGCACTAAATCTAGTGCAGAATAGATGCAGAAGCTAAAAAGTGTGTCCAGGCCCCCCTGCTGCCATCCCCTTGTGGATTCCTACTTCTTAATGTTGCCAAAGGCTGGAGGAGATCACTGTGACCCTGCTTAAACTGTTAAAGTGGTCAGTTACTTACGTTAAAATATGTATTTTAAGTCTATACTGTTTTGGCTTCTCTTTCCTGTTGTTGGATCTTGTTACCTCTCTCAGACTGAGGAATTCAGTGTCTGTGATTGCTTTCTTTCTGATGAAGACTCTGGTCCAGTTATCCTTTAACCCTCTTTGATAGGCTGCATGGAAAGACCTCCTAATGGCTTTTATTAAGAGGCATATTTTCCCATTCTTTTATCATTAGAACACTCTTTCAATAGTTGATTGCAAAGAGATGAACTTCTATTTTTCTAGCCTGTTGAATAGAGTAAATACTTTGTAGTATGTAATGGGATTAATGACAGAGGTAGTTTTACTTCAGACAGAAGCATTCTTCTTCTAGGTGTTATTAATCTCCCTTGTATTAGGTATGGAGTCATTAGCACAGGTACTGTAAAAGCAGGAATTTGATAGAAGGTGCTAATTCTCTGCCAGCATAATGGAAAAGCAGCAAAGTGCTCCTCTCCTCAATTAAGCATTGTCTCTGATCTCTATCTTAAGTCATTCAAATACCAAAATGGTTCCAGTGTAAAGTCTGACTTCAGGCTGCCTTGAAGTGGGGATTTTGAGCTCTTCTGTGCTGTTCAGTCTTGTGCAGGTGGACTGGGAAATTTGAACCACTAACTACTTCAAAGTCCTTTGAAGAGCCATTGTTACCTTTGACTGTCTCCCTGCTTAGCTGAGCTGAGCTCTTCTGTTATTTACTGAACCTCACTTACATAAGTCATTGGAGTTAAATATTCTTTTCTCCTGTGATGCCTTAATCATCTTTTCTGCCTGAAGGTCAATGCTAACCAGGCCTTTCAATGAAAGCTTTAGGCCTTGTGAGTGTTACAAAGGCCAGTGCAACAATGAAGTGAATAAAATTGGCAGTTCCTATACTGAACTGAAGTAAAAACATGGAAGGGACACAGGGATGGCCTGTGCTGGTGGACACAGGTTCTTTACAAAGATACTAAATGACCAAAACATGTTTAACTTGCAGAAGTGACCACACTGAGCTATAGGAAACAATGCACTATTTCCTTGAGGAAAAACCCCTTTGAGGGTTTTTTGTTGGGTTTTGGGTTTTTGCCAGGAACATGTGGCCTGGGATGCCCGAGTGGCTGTTTGGACAGCAAACACATAGGCTTTGAGAAGGCATGTGTTTAACTTGGCACACACCTCCCAATATTTGATGTATGTGTGCCAAGCCATGAGCTCTCATGAAGAAGAATCTGTCAGGGTATGGTCTAGCTCCTGCCTTCTGCCTCAGACATGAGCAACTCACTTCACTTTTCTGTTTCTCTTTTCTTGCATTTGCAAAGATGCTTTGGAGGTTCTCTAGGGCAAAACCCATCTTGGCTGCCTGGGTAGGTCAGCTGAGTGGGCATCTGACCTTGGTCAGGAGTTCTCAGACCTGTGAGAGTGTGCATGGAGGAGTGGATGGCTGTGAATCACAGAACTGAACAGGATGCTAATTTTCTTTTGTTCTCCTTTAATTGACCACATATGATACACGAGATACATGATGGTGCATGAGATAACCTGATGGGGAAAGATGAAGAAGACTTTTTATTATTTCTTGATCTTGGTTTAACCACCTCTTTTGGTTTTGTCTTTTGCTGGTTTTAGCTGCTTCCGTGCCAATGCCTTCTTATCCCAGTTCTGGCTCTGGTAGTTCCTCTAGCAGCTCATCCACTTCCCACCTGGCATCACCTCCTGTAAGTACAGCTCAGAGGATGCACTGTTTGTGTTAATGGTTTTCCTGCTTGTGTGTTTGAAATGAGGTCTCTGCTTTTGCACTCTCCTGGTGCAAGTCCCTGAACACTGTAGTTCTGGCTGGGCTTGGTGCAGTGTTCTCCAGTTTAGAGTTTGGATCCTGAAGGTTGGTTTACTCTGCCCAAGACATACTTCAGTGTGCCATAGCTTGTTGGATGAAAAGCCTTTATGAAAGAGGTTGGTATGAACAACACTAGCTTGTCTTGGCAGGCATGGAAAGCTCCTTGGAGCCCAAACCAGTTGCTAATTCAGGGTGTAGCTCTGCTTCCTTGGCTCCATGTTCTGTGTGTTCAAGCAAAGTCTCTGCAGCCTGACAGTGTATCCACCTCCTTCTGACCAGCGTGTTCAGGCACCACAGAGTGACATTCAGGCACCACAGAGGGACATTCAGCAAAGCTGTTTGCTCAGACCAGACCTGCCACAGTCCAGTGATCTCGTGAAAGATGATCTGGACTGATGGGTTTTCTCTTTGGTTACCCAAAACGGTGAAAACTTTTCTGGAGGGCAGAATATTTAAGTGACCAGTGGAGTGACATTCCTTCAGCTTTCTGAACTGAAAGGTCGTTTTTGAAGGCTCTTGGTGAAAGCTGCCTTTGACTTTGAACGTAGGAATTCTGGTGGTGTGATTGGTAAGGGAAGGAAGAAGGATGGGATTCTTTCCTCTCTGGCATGACTGCTCTTTTGCTCTGTTCTCTGAGTTTCCCTGGGTCAAAGTATCTCAATTTGGTGTGGGAAAGGCTGAGGGGCACCAGTAGAAGTTGATGTGGGTTCTCATGATGTGAGCTGGACAGAGAAGACAGGTCTGCTCCCCTCTGAATGTTTCATAGCTGTGTCCCTGAGAGCCTGAAGTAGAGGGTGGTTGGCTGAGGCCCTCCTGGCCATGGCAGGAATGAGCAGATGGTGTGGAAAGAATACTCACTCTCCTGAGCTTTCCTGGTCTGGGAAGCTCAAGGATGGTACAGAATCACTGCCAGACTGGGAGAGGGTTCCATGTTACAGGTTTGCTGCACCTCTCCTGCTCTGCCCTTGAAGGTTTTGCTGATGGAGGTGTGTTGGCTCAGTCTGGGAAAAATGCCATGTCTGCAGGGCAGAGTTCACAGATGGGTGGAAAAGAGGCAACTATGACAGCTGGAAAATTCCTTCTGCTTGTATGTACTGTGTGTGCAGAGAGAGGGAGTCCCCACTGGTGCAGAGGAGAGTCTCTGGAGGGTCAGCAAAGTCTTAATGAGGCCCAAGTGAAAGCTGCTTCAAGTCTTTCTCAGCCTGGAAATGCATTAGGATAAAGATTGTGATCTGCTCCGTGGGCAGTTCAGCTGCCTTAAACCTTTCTTAAACCATCCAGCCTCCTCCATCTGTCTGCAGTGTGAGGAGATTGTGGGGCTATCCATCATTTAGCTGAAGGGAGCAGGAAAATGGGACTTTTTAGGGACTGTCCTGCCTCTGACAGCTGTGAGCTGTTTATCTGCTGAAAGTTTAATCTCTTTTGGGCCTTTCTTTAGCTCCTTAGCAGCAGTACAGCAAAACAGGGTGGTCTTGGAAGTTCAGGAACACTTATCTCCATGTTACCAAGTGCTGCAAAAGCACAAATAGATACCAGATGGTTCTGTGCTTAAGAACAAAACAGAAAGAACATAACCCTAAAGAGCAACCAAAATACCTCTGAAAACGCCTCTCATGTTCCCAGCCATACTAAGGTGAGTTGGTAGAAAATGTGTGGTTGATCCAGAAAACCTTAGCAGAGGGATGCAATACCTCAAGTGAATTTTTCTTATCTGTGGAGCATCAGACACACTGGAAGTGTTTTGTGTTGTTCTGACAGGGACATAAAAGGCTGTTCCTTTTGAGCAAACTGAACAGCTGCTTCTGGCAAACCATCAGCCCTGGTTTATCAGCAAAATGTTGTTTGTAGCCTTGTACAGCTCAGTTTAGAGGATGGAGCAGAATGATGAAGTAGCTGTGCTGAAGCCAGTGTTTGTTTTCTCCTTGGATTAGCAGTCCCTTGGAGAGATGCAGCAGCAGCTGCAGGAGAAGGCGCTGGCATCTCCCACCCAGGATTCTCCCGGGTTTCTGCATGGATCCAAGGACTCTGCAGGAAGCAGCAGCAAGAATTCCTCCTGTGACACTGATGACTTTGTCATGGTCCCAGCACAGTTCTCAAGTAAGGTGGTTTCTGAAAATGCAGATGTTCTGAGCAGAGGGGAATGTGGATGTTAAGGATAGATATTGAAAATTTGAAAGAGTGATTAAACTTTCTGTTTTGACTGAATAGTACGAATGGTTTTGCTTTCAAACTGGCAAAGACCTCTGGCTCACTGGCTAGTTTCATAGGATATTTTGTAATTACCTTTAAAGACAGGATTTGAGAGCAAAGATTACTTGATGACCTCAATAAGAGATTGAACCTGGAACTGAAAAAGAAGGTAAATAGGCTCACAGGGAAAAGTCTCTCTCTCACAGGAGCTTTTACCTTGTTATCCTGTCTTCAGTTTCACTCAGCATCACAGTCCAAGATTTCAGCCAGCAAGCTACGTTTTACACTTGAAAAAGATCCCTGGGAAAAACGAAGATATGTTGTTTTTTCTTCAAATGCTCTAAATTTCATTTTAGGACCTTTATGTGTTTATACTGTGATAGGACTTGCTTGAAAATACAGATGTACATAGAACCAGGGCCTCAGTTTAGCCACATGCCTAAGTATGTCCATGCACAAGTCCTTACTTAACCAGCAGAAGGACATTGTTCTGCCTTGCCCCATGTGTGTGATGCTTTTCTGAGTTGGAACTTGGTGGTAAATGCTGTGATTCCTCCTTTCACGGTTGCACCACTTGTATTAAAAAAGGAATTTGGAGGGGTAGAGTAATCTCTGGAAGATCTCTGCATGATCTCTTATGATAAGGAGGAGCTTGTGTTTTCCCTGGAATCAGTGGTGGGACCAGTACACACATGCCTGGTGCTGGTCATGTTCCCAGTGTTCAGATGTTTGTTGTGTATCCAGCTGCCAGCTCATTTGGCTGCTCTGGATTTTTGCCACGGGGGGGGACAGGATGTTCCAAAGCACTTAGGAGTATCTTGTACCACTTTTACACAGCAGCCAGGGACTTGCACCAAGTGGATGTGGACCTGTTGCCTCAAATGATTGTCAAGTTTTGGCCCCCTCCCAAGGGGACTTGCTTTCAGCCTCGATTTTCCAAAACTTCAGGGTGTAAGGATCAGCAGCATCTACCACAAACTTCAGCTTCAGCCCACGTGTGGTTTGCAAAACACTGATTGCAGGAACAACTCAGCAGGGCTTGGAGGAGCAGGAAATTCTACACAAAATCTCAATTGCTATGAATGTATAAATGTTTTTAAGAAAATTATCTTGAATTAATCTGCTTCTGCACTTCCTTGTCCCTCAGGTGATTTGACTGCTGAGGCTGCAGGAGGGAAGCCAATCCAGGACAGTCTGATGTACAGTGGGTAAGGCCACCAAGGCACTTGGAATTGTCCAGCCACTGGAGCCTGCTGGGTGTTTGTGACTGTGGGGTTCTGGTGGATGGGAGGGAAGATGTCCCTGAATGAGTCTTTTTTTCAGGGACATATGTCACCTGCCTGATTCTGAGCATTTTCAGTTTCATGTGGTAGGAGCAGGATGACAGTCCCCAGAGCTCCCACTGATGAGGAGCTAGGCAGGCACAGCTCTGTAGGAGGGAAACAGGGTTGGTTCCCAGGCTCTGACAGCTGAGTTATTTCTGTTTTCCTCAGGAGCTCCCTGGTGACTTCAGCAGGCTTGGAAAGCCAGGGAAGGACACCATCTCCATCACCCCCATACAGCAGTTCCCCAAGCCCATCTGGGTAAGAAAAACTGTTGGGTGGTGTCTGTGCAACACTGAATAATTGAACTCTCATTGACTTCCAGGGGGGATTTTACTGCTGTTGGTGTGCTGGGGAAGATCTACATCTCTCCTCTTAATTAATGGGTAACAAGAAACACCCAGGAGAAACTCCCCAGCCTTGGGCACTGATCAGTCCCAACTACTGAGCCTGTCTCTCCCTCTTCTGGCTCTCAGGAGGGGCTAGGAGAGAACACAGGAGAGATAGAATTAACTCTACTCCCTGAGGGGGCAGGGATTGTTCTCAAGCAGAAAGTAAATGTACTGCTCATCCCCCCCAGTGCCCAGCCCTCAGAGGTGGGCAGAATTCCAGCTAAAGACCCTTGTTTTTAATTCATGCAGTGAATAAGAGCACAACACTTCATCCAAGGCTGAAATTATGATGGACTTGAGTTACTGGACAAGTGTGGGGGAGTGTTGCTCATCTCCCCTTGCTGTTGAAAGACAGCTGAGGGCCTGCTTAGATGTTTGTGGTTTGTTGAAAAGCTCCTTGTGCTGTGTCTCTGTAAAGTAATGCTGATACTGGACCTTGTTTACAGATGGGGGATGCAGGAGTAGGAGGAACATGTGCAAACAGGCGTGGTCATGGGTTTCATTCCAACTAAACCAGTTGCTCTAAACTCAGTTTTGGCCTTTAGAAATGTTGTAGGTGACAGCTGCCCAGTGGGCCGAGACACTTTTGTGTTCTGAAGGTGTTAATGGTCTGTGGAAGGTGATCCCCTTGACTCTGGGCCCTGAAGCTTTAGGGTATGTGCTTAGCTTGCAGTGAACTGCTGGTGTTTCTTCCCATCTTGTTCTTGCCTGCTGGGGAAGCAGGACAGCTTTAATCTTCTGTTCTGTCAATATGGCACCTGTCGGGGGAGGATGGTTTAAGGGGATTTCACACTGGGAGATGGATGACCCTAAAATCTTTTTTAAGAAGAAAATATAGTCCCAGGCTGTGTGTTCAACACATTTGTCACATGAACAGAGCCCAGAAAATGACAAAACATAGCCTCAAAGCATACAAATTTAACAGAGAATAATATAGCTCAGAGCCTAGCTGACGTGATCAGATTAATTGGCAAGCATGTACCACAGTGTGGAGTTTAATTGCATGAGGCTTCTTATGCCATCGCCTGCTAAGCTTTTTAACAGCTTATTCCTTAACTGATTCCTTTGCATTCTGGAGATCAGTCTCTATTAAAGGATTTGGCCTTGCTTCTGGGCAGCAGTGAGGAGAAATTCATGGAAGTTCACCACAAATGCTGCCCACTTCTCCCTGTTCACCAAACTGGCCTCATCATTTTCTGGTGGATCCCAGGGTGGCCAGTCAATGCCAGAGGCTTTGATCTAAATATGTTTCCACTCTCACTGTCTTTTCTACTCATTCCCAGCAGCTTCTGTGGAGCAGATGTCAAACCCTCTAGGGCTACTTCCACTTTTCTATCTGCCTTGAAGAAAAGCTCATTTCTGTGCTGTTCAGGATGGGGAGTAAGACATCAGTAATGAAAGATTGGAGCAGTCACTCTGTGTCCAGAGGATGCTCTTTGGTCTGTCCCCTGAGAGTGCTCAGAACTGGTGCCACCCAGGTGTGCCCTTGCTGGGTTTCAGTGCCCTTCCCTGTAGGTGGCACAAGACCTGTTGGTTCAGCACTTGGCTCCACTGGTGCAGAGGAGCTCTGGTTTTCCCTCTGCCTGCTCACTTGGAAGCAGCAGTTCTCCCTTCCATGTGTGGCTCCAGGCTAGCAAGCAATGCTGGCTGCAGTCCAACTGGGACAGAAAGCAAGGGCTGTTTCAGAGTGGCCAGCAGTGGGTTTTCCACAGGATGTCATGGTACACTCTAGGACAACTCTCCTTGCTCTTAATTAAGATATTGAGAACTGGGCAGAATTAAAACATGCCAATAGTTGATCTTTTTTTTAAATGCTTCCTTGAAGATGCTTAGTAAGTCTGATGAAAGGTAATTTCTTGGATGTACCCCACAGCACTAGATTTAATACTGTTTTCAAAGAGCTTTTAATTACTGCCAAGTAGTTAAACTCCCTGTCCCGGCTTTATCTCTTGGACTTTGCAGGTTTATGGGCAATTGCATTCTTTAGAGCTTGAGGCCAGTTAGCAGGTTTAGTGTGTGTCACCTCATTTAGATAATTTCCTTTGCAGCTTGCAGCATATGAAGGAAATAAGGACTTAATAAAATTCTTGGGAAGAGGAAGGATCCTCTTACCCAATAACTTATTTTCTGATAAAGAATTTTGACCAGATAAAAAAGAGAGTGTTTGAAATGTATGTTCAAAGTGAGTACAAGATTTCATGTGAATCTTCAGATTTCTTGCTAAAGCTTTATTTTGTTTATGTCTGTCACAACACCACGTTTTATACTCATGGAAGACAGATACATCAAAGCCTCACCTTTTTGCTGAGCCACTGGAAACCTTGAATGCCTTTATTTTATTATGTGTTAGTGAAGAATCAAGGCATCCATGCTGCCTTTTGGAGACAAATAGGAAATTAAGAGTCTGTTTTCTTGATGGAAGAAATAAGAGCACACAAGGAAGAATATATGGCACTTTAAAAAATTGACAGAGGAATGAAAAGACTGGAATAATTTGATCATTCAGTCTTTATGAAACATCTCTTCCAGTTATTTGGATGTTACTGTGATGGAGGAGTGTCTTCACATGCACTGTGTGGAGATCTGCAGACACTTTACTGCAGATCAGCTTTGCTCAGTGCTGTCACTAAACCACAGAACGCTATGACCTTTCTCAAAACGGAAACTCTGGTAATGGGACACTTTGAACTGCCAAATAAGTCACAAACTCTTTCTTCTTCCCCTGAGTACACACAGGTGTGTTCTTGCTGAATTAGATATACCCTTTCATGTCATGTAAAATATTTCCATTCCAAGTGCTAGACCCCAAGCAGCGATACTTTCAGCTTATCAGGGGCAGACCCATGTGTGTGTCCTCGACTGACAAGGAGGGAGACTGCAGAAGCCTTCATTACCAATAAGATCTTCCTGTCATTGTTCAACATCCCTGCAATTGGTGTTGGCAGTTGTAAATAGCATTGCTATGGCAGTTAATCCTAGAATTCTGGGGCCTTTGGGAAAAGACTTTAGGCGACTACTTAGTTAAATATGGTATTTTGCATGGGTTTTGTACAGCGTGGTTCGTGTAGCCTGGTGGACAGGCCAAGAGTAACCTGGAGGAACAGGTATCAGACATGAGCCAATTAACCTGCTGGGATGGAAGGAGCCTGAAATTTGCAGAATGGACTTGTCCCATGTTGTGTGCATGGTATTCTATCTTGTCCTTGATGGGTATATAGATACCAGCTCCTGTTCCTCAGATTTATTTTCTCCTGAGTTGCCTTCTCCACCCTGTAGTTAACTTGCCAGTACTCTGATCCTCACCACTACATTCCCCTCGTGGTGTGAGACTTCCATGGGGATGCCGTGGCTGCAGCAGTGCCTCTGCATGAGTCAGTCTCGAGTAGCTCTTGTCAGCAGAGTCTGTGCTGGTGTCCTTTGTGAGCCACGGATGCTGAGCCCCTGCTCAGTGCTGTCTGCTTGGCTGTGCATCTGAGCTGTTGGAAACTAGGCCAGCCATGGCCTGAAATAGCAGGGCTCTGCTTTTCCTGGAGGGAGTGGTGTGCTTGGGTGTACGTTTTAGCATCAGGCTGTGGGTGGGAATGGTGCTGGAGGAAAGGTGCCTGTTTTCAGGAGATGTGTGGTGCCACTTCCCTTTGATATGACTGTGAACCACCTCCCAGTGCAAACCCACAGCCCCAGAGCAGCCCAGGGGACGCTGCCTGCAATGCAGTTGCCTCATGAAGATAAAATCTCCAATTACCTGGTTGAAAGCCCAGCCCTTACAGGAGGTTGTCTCTGTGTGTCTCCTTTCACAGCCGGCCAGGGCAGTTTTCCAGCAGCAAGTACGGACACTCCGTGCCCATCCCAGTCCCCACACAAATCCACAACTACCGTCGGATCGAGCAGAACCTGCAGTCTCCCAACCCGTACTCCTCCCCCCGGTAAGTGCTGGGGCTGGGACGAGGGGGTCTGGACACAAACTGCTTTACACTTTACTTTCTGTACCTCTATAAATTCCCCTGTGTGTTGGGCTCTCCCCCTTGCCCCCTTGGTGTGTTTTTGTGATGATGTTAAGATTTATTTATTAGCACTGTAAATTTTGCCTGTGTGCTTTTATGTGGGAAAGCTCCTGTCAGCTCAGAGTGGAGGCTGAGCCACTTTGAGTCTGACAGCTTTTCCCATGCCAGCTATGGACTGGGTGTCCAAGTGTCTAGGCAGAGAGAACCATCCATCTGGCAGATACCTTTATAAAAGGAAAATTTGAGATAAACAACTAAGATGGATGGGGCTACAGAACCTACCTGACTTTACCTTAATTGGTTCCTGTAGCCAGTCATGCCATAGATGATGTGTTGTGCACGAGTTGCATATTAATGTGGTTATGCAGCCAGGACTGAGTAAATCATGAGCAGTTTATGCCCATGAGGCAGAGCATGTTTTCTGAAGGCTGTCAGGAAGACCCTGACGCCAAGTCTGCAGCAGACAGCTGACCTGAGTTCAGAGGTAATGCCTGGTGCATCCAAGACATGTAGGGCTTCTGTCTCTTCTCACATACGGTTGCTGGCTGGCAGCAGCAGCCCAGGTCATAGACTGATGGGAAGGAGACCAGCAGAGGATCTTAAGGAGCTTGTGTAACAGGGGCACTCAGATAGAAGTGTCTAAGAGGTGTCATGTCTTTTCTAGGATGAGTTGTGTTGGTATCTGGATTAGTTAAAGTTTAGATTTCAAAAGTAGGGTAATACCTATGTCAGCCTAAGTTTGGGTTTCAGCCAGCCTAATTCAGGATAAGGCTTATTTGAAGTGGACCAAGAATTAGAGACACAATATGCTGGTATTGGTCAGGGATAGGGCTTAGCAGAAGGCTGGTCTGTGCCACTGTAACTTTAATACTGTTTTATGTTAACTTTTTCGAGCATCTGGCAGGTTTTGTGGTAAACTCTGTCCTGTTTCCTATGTGCCTTGTGTTTTTGACAGCAAAACTTGTGGACACTGCTGGTTTTGGACTTCACAAGAGCCCTGGTTTTCTCTGTGAGGTATAAAGAGAGAGTTCTGGAGAAGGTGCTGTGCCAACCCCAGACCTGGTGATGGGCTGTGGTGTGAGGCTCACAGCTACAGTCAGAGAGCAAACTGCCATGTTTTGCTCCTTTTAGTCACCTCTGTGTAATGCTGAGATTGGCATGTTCCTGCACAGGAACTCGAGGAATGGGCCCAATCAGGGTGACTCACAGGCTGCTTTTAGCATCTTCTCAGCATCTCTGGCGTCATGTTGTTTCTGCCCCAGGAAGCCATACTTATCTCTGGCCATCACTTCCTCTAATCAGCAGGTTCAGTAGACACCCTTCAGGAATGGCAGGAGAAAACTCCACCAGGCGTTTAGTGTGTGATTCCATTTTTCCATCGGGTGCATCAAACAGGCCGTTGCTGCGGAGTGCCGAGTCATGTTTGCTGAGTCATTTGATTGCAAACCTTGACGTGCACTCTGGTGTCTGAGAAATGTCCCCTTGTCACCTGACTGGCTGCTGTGTGCCCGTGTGGTGTGGCTGTGGACAGATGTGTGCCTTGGTGAGGTGCTAATTAGGCGTGTGTGCCTCTGGCCACATCACCTGTCCTGCTTGTCTGCTGGCATACCCTGGGTCTCATAGGGTGGCATTTCACATTGCACATCTTCCAGCCGCAGCAGTCACCTGGTGATTTTTTTTCTGCAAGTTCCTGATGGATAAAATTCAACCTTCTTCATGGCTCATGCTCTGGAGAATTAAAAACATGGCAGGGCAATACTTTGTGCCACTGATTATCTAGGTATCGTCTCACCTTTCTCATTGGAAATTCGTTTTGCTTCAGGGCCAGGTACTTGATGAGCATTAGCCTCTGAATCTGGAGCAACCTGAAGAGAAGTGATTTTTAGGTTAAAATTTTCAAGTATTTCCTTTTTTCCAAGCAAGTGATTATAGCGTGGGTTTACTTGGCTGCAGAATGTGGAGAGGGACATTGGATAGGGGCAGGGAGGTTGGCAGATCAACTACTCAACTGTCTCAACTACTGAAATAGATTTATTTTTTAAAATGTATTTCTTTTCTGAAATGTGGCATAAAGTGAAATGAAAACCTTGAAGTGTTGTTGAACTGACAGTTCATCAGGACATTTCTGCCATTTCTGGCACTGCTGAAACCCACATCCTTTGTTCCTTCTGTTCAGATACATGAGGACACTTAAATGCAGCATCCCTGGCAGAGGAGGCAGGGTACCTTAGTGACAGCATCTGTCAGTGGCTCAAGCATGGAGGGCTTTTTTTCAGCAGTCATTGATTCCTGTCCAGAAAACCACCTACTGGTTGAGACTAATGTTCTTGTAACAAGACAAAAATTGTTTCCAAATTGAGAATGGAATGAAGGACTTGATGGGAGGATTGTGTTCTCATATAGAGGAGTGTAATGGGAATCTTGGTGAAGGAACCAGCAGAGGCAGAATGGCATTGCAATTTAGGTTGTGTGTTCTTAATGATGGTGAAAAGATTAACAAATTAAGAAATTATTAATTTGTATGCAATAATTCTGTCTCTCTCCAGACTGATGGTGTGGATGTACTCACTTTCCCACTAGTTTCTTCTTCTGTTTCGTTTTAGCACTGGCTAATACTCAAGGTTCCTGCATGTGTGGGCTTTACAAATTAATTTTAACTCCCTAAGTTGAGCCTTCACAAGGAGTTGAAGGCGTTTAGACAGGCAATTCTGACTATGCAGGCCAAAAAACCCAAATTCCTCTGAGTAGTTGTGAAGTGTTTCAGATCTGGCAACCACACACTGTTGTGTTTAGCTGTTTTGCTCTGTAGCTCCTGATTTGAGTCCAAACTCAGTTGCAGAGCAGTGCATTGGCACACTTTACTCAGCATTGAGCACAGAGCTTTCTGCCTAAAGGCTGCTCTGACTGAAGGGCAAGCGGCTCAGCACAGGAGCACATTGAATAAAGCCCTCTGAGGACATTCCAGAGACACTGCCTACAATGAACATCTTGGTCGTGGCATGATAGGAAACTCTGTCTTGTTCAGGATTGATGTAGATACCTGCAAGCATCTGAAGTGTTCTGTGAAAAATTACTGTCTTGCTTACAGCTAAGCTAACCTTGACTGTTCTTTTCATTTATTTGAATTGAAACCCTTGAAAACAAGGATTGTCATCTTAATCTGTTTTGGTATAGTCCTAGAACAGTGGGATTTTGATCCAGAATAAACAATCAGGAAGCTGTGCTTTTGTGGAAGTAACTGGTAATGCTGTTCTGCTTCCTCTTCTGTACTGGCCTCTGGAGTAACCTGTGTGCTGCTCTTGTTTCCTGTAAGGTCTGGTGCGGTCCGGAGGTCCAGCAGTACAAGTCCTCTTGGTTTTCCCAAAACTGGTGCTTCCCCTCCTTATCCTGGAGAGCATGGATCCGTGCCCAGCACTAAAAAGCTCTCCTTTGGTGGTGCCAAGCCGTTTATGCCATCACCACAAGGTAAGATGTCAGCTGGCACATTGCTGTCCTAATAAAATCATTTGCCTCTTTCCTATGAAGAGGGAGGTTTTGACCAGCTGTAGCTGCCAGGTAGTAGAGAGTTCAGATTGTTGTGTTCCCCTGTGGTTCTTCTCCACAGATTATTTGACAAGTGTTTTGACCTCAGTAAAACGGAGAGAAAAATACCTGTTAGCCCCAGGAGAGGCAAGCTTTGCTTTGGTGCCTGCATCAAACATTTTGCTGCCCTCAGAAGAGGGCGTCTGTAAGTGCAAAGTATCTTTTTACTGGCTCGGGTTGGGGTGAGAACAAATGTAAGCTAATTATTGTCAGAGCAAAATTCTGACCAGCTTTAAAAAGGCTTGAACTTCCAGACTGAAAAGTTTTGGCTGAATACCTGGTAGCCTGATCTAGATGCTAACAAGCAATTCAAGTGGAAAAGGACAAGAGAAACCTCAAAGTGCAATGGATGCCATTTCCTGTTTTCTGTAAAAGAACAGGCTGATCTAATGAGCTGTTCCATATCCCTGGTGTATTGATCCTCTATTTATTAGTCTCTGCTGAATGGGAAATACAGAATATTCATACTCTATTCCTTTGAACTAATATCACTGCAAAGTCAGACTAAAACTTGCTCAGCTAATACCAGGCAGAGGTTTTTTTACCTTCTTTTACGGGAGTTGAGGATCTTCTCACTACACAGCTAGGGCAGAGAAGATGGAAGAGATAACTGGCATCTTTCTGTAAACAGGTGGTGCATAGTGCTGTTTTTTGCCTATGAAAACTTAATACTGAATTAATTTCTTTTTATTTAATTCTCTCACAGTTGGAACAATCCCAGAGCAGCCCAGCCAGACTGTTATCCCATCTTCTCTTGGAGCAGAAGTGAGAAGCCGTGTTCCTGCTGCTGGTGAGTTGGTCCTTGCCTTGCTTCATTATTGCTATGGATAAAGCCACAACTGTAGTCTCAGGGCATTCTAGGTTGGGTTGGTTGCTTCAGCAGCTCTCTGGATGTTTGGCCAGCCAGGATCTCTGTTGCTGGTGGAAGTTGGGGTTGATCCATTCAGATTCCATCAGCCAGCATCTTCCAGTGCTGACAGACCCTGTGTAGCAAAAACTCATATTTGGGACTTGGAAGCCAATGGATTGAGTGAAGGAAAAACAACTCAAAACCTCCAACACCCCCTCTGCCAAGAGGTCTGCTTGATGTGTGATTTCCTTGCTGCTAACCCCAGTCAGGGTTTGTGTCTCTGAATGGGCGGCAATGAAAGAAGCTGCACTTTTATTTCCCTGTTGTTCATATCTCATCCTCCCATAGACTCAGAATATGACCAGGCCTGGCAGTGCTGTGGCTTTGCTCAGTACTATGCTTAGCCATAGGTTTTGATCTGCAGCTGTTTGAGCTGTAGATCCTGGGATCAGGCTGTCTCTCTGTATTAGAACCAGGCAGTGATGTAGTTTGTCACTCTGTGCCCTCCAGGTTCCTTGGCACCCGAGCAGTCTCCTCGAGGGATGGGCTCCCGGCTCCACAGTGCTCCCAACCTGTCGGATTTGCATTCCTGCAGGCAGAAGATAACCAAGCAGCACTCTGATCCTCTTGTTGCTCACTTTGGTCATACCCCAGTCAGCCAGCCTCTGCAGATTCATGGCTTGCAGCACTGCCGGCAGCTCCGATCCTCACCAAAGCTCTCTGAGTTCATGCAGAGAAGCCCTTTGCCAACAATAATGGGCTCCCCTACAAAGGTATGCCCAGGAGTCTGCTTTTGGGCCTCTCACAGCTGGATCTTCTGGGTGATTTGGGGATGAGCTGCTGCAGGAGTAGATAACTGACCTGGATTTATCAGCACTCACTCCTATCCTGTGGGAGCTGTGCAGTGATCTGTGTGGAATGGGGTGGTGTCCTACTTACTGTGGGCAGCTCTGCCCTGGCAGCAGCACTCAGCAGCTGAGCAGAGCCCAGGATCAGGAGCAGGCAGGGGAAGGAGGTGTCCCAATGGCTGGAGTCCCCAGCGGTGGGGACACAGTGACCCGGCTGTGACGCAGGCGTGTGTCCAGCAGGAATCCCCAGCAGAGCCAGCAGCCAGTGACAGCCCTGTGCCTAATGGGGAGTGGGCACTGTGACAGCATTTTGCCTGCTTACAAAATTCTCAGCAGTTTGTTGTCCTTTCATTTTAGCCTTTCTGGGATTAGAGACAAATAACTGTTCAGGGTGGGATTTCTACCCTGTTTTCAGGCAGGTTGTTAAACAGTTTAATTCTGATAAACAAGTGAGGACCAAGAGGAGCCTTTCTTTTCTCCCTCATTTTAAATACAGATCTCTGTTCTTTTTGTTCTTTTTAGGCTGTGTCCCCATTTGAGTTTCCCAAAACCCCAAGTTCCCAGAATCTCCTCACCCTGTTGGCCCATCAGGGGGTCATGATGACTCCCACACGGAACAAGACCTTGCCAGATCTGAAGGAGATGGGTCATTTCCACTGCCAGCAGACTGGGTTGGGATTGAGGCCTGTGGAAGAGATCAAGGGCAGGTGAGCTGCAGTCTGCTTCTTACAGTGGTGCTTCACTTCTCAATACAGGACAGATGGGGCAAATGTCAAACCCCAGCTGATGCTGAAGTTTTGGTGAGGCATCTGTAAACATTGTGTGGTTATCTGCTAGCACCTTTGGACTGCTAACAGGAATGGTGCAGACTTTTTAAAGTCTTCCTATAAAGAGACAGGCCATGGCCTGTATCTTTTAAAATGGAAGATTGTCTGCAGCTTCACACCATGTTTAGTGTGCAGAGTTTCATCAAGTGGGGATGCAGGCCTTTGTTACCAGACAAGCAATTCCTCAGATGCTTGTCTTGCTCCCTGTGGGGCCTGTCAAGGAGGAGACGTTGTTCAGAGTGTTCCTCCTCCATCAAACAGTGGCACAGGTGTTCAGAAGAGAGATCTGTTGGAAAGCCATGTGCTGGCTGTCATGAGCACTGCAGGATAGAAAGTCACTCAGGTGTTGCTGTTAAGTTTTTCTTACATGCCTCTCTTCACACTGCAGTTTTCCGCAGTGTTCTGGGGAAGTCCTCTGATACTAATTTTAATTCCTTTCAACAAAAACAAATTGTGTTATATTAATGTAGTGAGGACTTGCATTACTGCAGTTAGTCATGATAGTTATGTGCTTTCTACAAGTAGCAGGAGGTGCTTGAGATGCTCTCTTGAAAGAGTCCTTTTTCCAGCTCCAGACTGTTTACTGTGTAGTGTTAAGTGGCTGTGGACCAGGAATAGCACAAAGAAGTGAAGTGAGCTGACACCTTGCACTGTTGACTTCCAGCATCATGTTGTATGTACTCTTTTTAGATCTCTGAGCACAGGCAGGCTCACCGACCTGCTTCTGAAGGCAGCCTTTGGGGCACAGATCTCGGAAGCTGGCAGCAGCGACAGCCTGAACAATGAGAAGCCAATGGAAATTGCAGGTAGGTGGGGAGGCGAGGCAGATCTGGCAGGATGTGCTGGGCTGGGGTTTGCCTACACCCCTCCTGGAAATGGGAGGCTGCTTTGCCGGTGGCTCTTGGCACAGGAAGCGAGTGCCGCGTGTGAGCAGTGCCGTGCTGTTTGCTTTTCCCCGCTCCGTGGGCTGTGTGCGCTGTAACTGCTGGATCGTGGTGTGCTTTTTGTAGGCAGGGCTTCCTCTTTCGGCCCCTTCAGAGTGTGACAACCTGTGGAAGTGGTGGCTTGGTGCCAGGCGGCTGCAGTGTGAATGGCTCTGCAGGGTGGGTGTTGTGTGCGTGCAGGCCAGGCAGCGAGGAGGAAGAGCAGCTGCAGCAGTGGCTGGCGCTGCCCAGGCTCTGTCCTGTGGCCCGTGGTGCTGGGGATGCCTCAGTGGCCTGTGCTGGTACCTGCCGTGTCCCAGGAGAGTCTGCAGGAGCACACCCGCCGGGCGAGGCACCCGTGCTCTGAGTAACCTTCCTGTAATGCCGGTCTGCACCTTTCCACTGTCTCCCCAGCTCCCTCAGGTGCTTACGGAGGGACCCTGCACTCTGGTGCCCGGGCTGGGGGCTCTGCCAGCCCATCCCCAGTGATTTTTACTGTCGGATCCCCTCCCAGTGGAACAACCCCCCCACAGACCACGAGGACCAGGATGTTTTCAGGTAAAGGGCTGATACCTACCTGCCTGTTCCAGTGGGAATGCCTGGGGGCAGAGAGATGTGATGCATTCCTTGCTGCAGGGCAATGGTGATGGCAGAAGGCTGCTCAGAGCAATCTGTAGAGCTCAGCTGGTCTCAGCACCTTTGAGGTTCTTGTGCTGACTCCTGCCAACCCCAGTTGTTGCTGCTAGCTCTTTGCACTGGCATTAGTACCAGAGAGTGGTTTTCCAGTACTGTAAGAGACAGTCAGACTTTTACTTGATTGCTCTCTGCTTCAGGAATAGTGCTGCAGCTGTTCACAGAACCACTGTTGAGAGGTCAACAAATGTAAAGATTGTGTTGTGTTCTGATTGTTCTCCCCGTGGGTTTTGGATGAGCTATAAAAGATGAGCGTGACTATCTGTGCCCAACAATTTCAGTGCACAAGGACTGTTGGGAAAGGGCCAGGAGGGCTCTGTGTGCAAAACTATTAGAGATGTTACTCATGCTCTGAGCTGCTTAGGTAGGAGATGGAGAAATGCACTCCTACTTGACAGATACTCCTTGTAAGACACCAGTGCTCTGGCCTCATCAGCCAGCAGTTGAGGCTGTGGTAATTGGCCCTTTTGGGATAGAGTGTCTGGGAGTTGGAGTCTATGTTCAGTTTAAGAAAATATTTGGACACATTTTGATTTGCATATTTGGCTTGTTTGTTTTTTTGTCTTGGCTGCTCCTCATCTGAATGTACTTGACTCTGTTGTTCTCAGTTACTGCAGGGAAAGTTTGGATGTGACCATGAATAAACTGCTTGACTGGCATGGGGGTACATGTGGGCTTGGTTCCTGTGTATAACTTGCATTTCCATCCTAACTGAAACCACTCATGTCTTTGGTTGCCTGGAAGATTGGAGCCACAATTCCTTCTTTGTCTCATTTATTTGGAGAGTGAGCTTTAAGACTCTTAAAAACTGTGTGAGAGGCCTGTAGCACAGTGGGATTACTGTCCTGGTTTCAGCCTCCAGCTACTACTGGAGTATGGACATGTGATGGATAGAGGATTCAAACTTTCTGTGTTGCTTTTCAGGGATAATAGCAATCTGAAAGCAGGTCCAAGCACCAGATTTTAGCAGGCTGATACTCAGGTACTCAAGGGTCTGCCCAACAGTCAGGATGTCAGATGGGAATAGGAGGTTGTTGAAAGTGAACCTGCAGTACACACACAGTGTTAGGTCAGGGTGACCAAAGCAGTGCTGCAGGATAAGGTTTGTTTATTAGGGCTGTGCAGGAGCTCCTCATGTTATAGTTAATGCACAAAGTTAATGGTGGAAAGGGGAGATTTGCAAGCTGAAACTTTTCCCCCCAAGTGCTTGGACAAGCCATGAGTAAGGACAGTTCTAAAGGCAGAGCCTTTCTGTGAGTCATCCTAACAATTTCTGCAAACAGCCTCTTGGAATTACAGGGCACGCAGAATGTGATGTTGTAGGTTCTCTTCCCTCTTGTCTCTGAGAGAACTGGAAATACTCTGCCTGTCTTTGATGATCCACTTAGCTTTGAAGCATTGCTGCCATCGTGGAGAGAGCTTTTGGGAGGAAAAGAGGCTGTGCTTCTCTGCAGATGAGTTGTGCATTATTATATTGATGAACCTTTTGAAGGCAGGATCGGGCAGTAAATTAAATTTGTAGTTAGAAGAGAAACATTTTCCTCCAAAGGACCAGTGAGAGTGGAGAATACCACCTGGGTAAAATTAGCATAATGTTGGAGCTGGTATTGGCATCCCCCATCAGATAGAATGTTTCCCTCTGTGGCAGTGTGCCAGAGGCTGGAAAGCCTCTGGAAGTGGTGAATGTATTGTGAATACTCTGAGACAAAATCTCCTTTGTGCTCCTAGGGTGATTCAGTGGTCAAGAAGGGGAAAAGCTGATGAGGTGAGGGAATTGGCTGATGGACACCATACCTACAAGATCTCCAGATATGTAGGGTTAGGGTCTTGACTCAGCTGATCACTCGTTCTCTGCCCAGCCTTTTGTTTATTAAGAGGGGAAAGCAAAAGTGCAGGGCATTTAATGGAAAACTCTCCTGACTTGCATACAGGATGTTCTAGAAAGATCACTTATCAGAGTGCTCATTCAGTGACAGTAATAGCCAAAAGGCAGTGAGCCAGAGTTCAAACTGTGCTGCTCCATGGTGGGGAAGTTGCCTGTGACAGTGTATGATAAAGATCTGCCCAAGATATTGTGGCAGGATTCAGAAAGGATTTAGCCAAAAAAAGGGAAAATAATTTCTTCTGAATTGTCTCTGTAAATGGTCGTCGTTCTGGAAGGTGCATTAAATCTACCTGGGCTTGTTACTTGGTCTGCCTGAGTCACTAAGGAGCTTATGGTGGGGAGTGGTTGTTCTGCATCCAGAGTCCTTGCATCTTCCTCCAAAGTACCTCTTGCTGGCTCCTGTCAGATCCAGGATCCTGAATCCTCCAGAATTCTCTTTCCTGCATGAGGAATTACCTGGCCTGCTATTAATACCTCCAGCTAATTCCTTTGTCTGTTTTTCTTCACAGTGGGGTCTTCCAGCTCTCTCAGCTCTGGAGGCTCCTTCAGTGGGAGGCACTTGGCCGTGGGAGCTGCAGGGGAGGCTCTGGAGGGCCCCTCGAGTCTCCGGTACACTTTTGCTGATCCCATCACTGCCAACCTGGAAGGTGCTGTCACATTTGAGGCACCAGAGCTGCCTGAAGAGACGCTCATGGAGGTGGGTATATCCCAGGGGCAAAGGACAGGGGAATAAAAGAGAAGCAAATCCAGACAACTCCATGCTTTGCTTCCAAAGGTGGAGCAAACAAGAGAGCAAGGCCAGTGAAATGTTCAGAAAGCCCAGGGCATATTTAACACCGAGCCCTTTAGTCCATTTAACAGCCCATGACTGGGGTTAAAATTTCCCATTTCCTGAAATTGCAGGTTGGAAGATCAGTTATCCAATGCATTCTGTATTAAGAGCCTCTGAAGCAAACCTGCCTGCTTTGTGTCTCTCCTTTTAAAAAAGGCTCAGCATTTGTACTGGCTGACCTGAGAACATGAGTAGCTCAGTGTGCCAGGTGCCTGCCTGGTGCACTTGGGGATTCAGCAGTGATATGGTCTCTGCTGAAAGGATCTGAAAACAAAGTAAACCTGACACTTCTGTTCCTACTGGGGGTGGGGGGGACACCGTGTTCTGTACCAGAAGAGCTGAACCAGATTGTGGAGCTGAAAGGCTGCCAGACTCCCCTTCTCTGCAGGCTAAAGCAGAGAAAATGCTGTTATAACTGAGATATATTTGAAATGTAGGTCAGGCTGCCCATTTGCAGTGGAGGTGGGAGGCACATTCAGTCACACTTTTAGCTCTGCTTGTGATACCTCCTTGGGCTGTCTGGGACTGGAGAAGGCTCTTTGTGTCTGATACTTGCTGGTGCTGCTGAAAACCCCAAGATACCAAGAGAGATATGCACACATTGTTTTAAGGATGTGGGTTTGCTCTTCTACTTCAGATTTTGTTAAGCTCTTTTTTTCTGTCAATTCTGCATTGGATTGCATTTGTTGGCTTCATTACCTGTAAAGCCACAGGGCAAAGGCTTCCAGCAATGATGTGATCACAATAGCAGTCAGTTTAACTGAGCAGTCCTACCTGTGTGAGGTGACAGAAGTTTGGGGCCCTGCCAGCTGCCACCACTTCAGATTCTGGTCTGAAGAGAAGTGTCCTAAGGAAGTACCGGTTGATCTTGGAATAGCACTCACCTTGTCTGGCTGTAATGGGTCATTTGGCTTCAGTCCTCATTTCTGCTGAGCACAGTAATCCCTTTGCATGTCACAAAACCTTTACAGCAGATTTCAAGACCCTTTTGTGCTCTGTGGAGTTGGCCAGAATGCAAACCTGGCAGCTTTTCTGATTTCTGCTCATCTTTCAGGGCACTGAAGTCCTACTGTTTAGGTGCCCTTGTTTATCTTTAGCAGCGCTGTTGAGTTTGGATGGATAGTTGTATCTTTTGTGAAAGTTTCTTTAGGTGCAGACAAGGCATACTGGAGGCTGGGCTTTAGTTTCTTTTGCAGTGGTCTAAAAACACAATATAGAGATGGCTACAGAAGACTTACGATGGCAAATGAGGCCATAAATGTCAACACAGTTAGCAGAAGCTGACTGTAGGCAGAGGAAGAACTGCCTGTGGGTTAGAGATAAGAGGCTGAGACCTGCAAGATCTCAGCAGTTTCCTGCTCTGCCACAAACTTCTTGTATGACTTGGTAATTACATAATCTCCAAATTCATCCTCTGCTTTTAAAGAAAATTGAGGAATATAGAGATAACACTTCCTCACCGTACAGGACTGTCCAGGAAGCAAGGTAGTGGGAGGGAGAGATTCATGTTCCAGATAGTCAAAGCTGCCTGAACAGCCAAGTGAAATAAAGAAAGAAGCTCTCAGATCTTGAGCATGGGGGTTTTCTGGTAAATTAATGTAGGAAACATCCTTACCCCCTTGGAGAGAACTGAGCCAGTGTATCTTTGAAAAACAGGTTACCTCTTTCAACAGAGTACAAACAATGAAGTTGGCATCTGAGCCAGGCAGCAATTCACTTTGCAGGCCCACAGGCATTCAGTTTTTCCACAAATAGTAACTTCCCAGAACTGGTTGCAGTGACTTAACCAATGCAGCTTCCCAGAAATGGGATAATCCCCTTTGATCTGTAATAGCAGAGGAAAAACTACTCTGAAATGACCACAGCACTTGGTGTGAGCTGGGCAGGAGTTGCAGATAAAAGGTTGTCCTTGCTGTCTTCTCAAAGAACCTCACCCAAGGCTCACAGCACTGAACTGGGAGGGGATGAAGGCTGGGATGTAGGGTGGGAGACATTTTGTTGGCAGTTTTTTGTGGTGTAGGAGGTTTTCACTCTCATGAAATCCACATTGGCATTGCTGTAGTGGGAACAAGAGCTGGGCTTATGGTGCAGATGGTCTCTTCCCCCTTCCTGGCTGACTTCTCAAAGAATCCCACAGAGCTGGGATGATCCTTGGGACGGGAGCTTGTAATTTTAGAGTAAGTCTCACAAGCTTCTCCAGGGAGCTGTCTAGAAATTTCTGGCCTGGGGCTGTTGTTTGCTGCTGTTACTGTGGAAGAGGAACCGGCACAGGCTCCAGGCTGAGTTTAGCCCAAAGCAGAGATGTAGGGGGGTCTGGGGGTGAGGTGTTGTTTCTGTGAGCTGGAGTGGGTTGCTGGCACAGCTTAGGTGAGCAGCTTTCCCTGTAACCCCCTCCTTGGCATCCCTTCAACAGCAAGAGCACACGGACATCCTGCGCAGCCTGCGCTTCACGCTGGCCTTCGTGCACTACGTGATGGAAATCGCTGCTCTGAAGGGCAGCTCCAGTGACATGAGCAGCTCGGGGACATCTGAGTACCAACTCCAGGAGAGCGTGGTGGCCGACCAGATCAGCCTCCTGAGCCGGGAGTGGAGGTAAGGATGGGCAGAACTGCCCAGCTCCCAGGGTTTGTGTCACTGCCTCCCACCCCACACATCCTTATGCCCCCACAGTCCCTGGGGACACGGAGCTGCTGTCACACTGATCTGTCTGCTTTCTGTGCAGCTATGCAGAGCAGCTCGTGCTGTACCTGAAAGTGGCAGAACTTCTGTCCTCGGGGCTGCAGATGGCCATTGAGCAGATCAAAGCTGGCAAGCTGTGCCTCTCCTCCACTGTCAAGCAAGGTAAGGGGCTGCTGCATTCATGGGGGAATGGAACTGAAATGGAACTATTAAAAGTGTCATAGAGGGTATGGAGGGGGTGGAGTGAGTGTGAACCCCACCAGGGTGGTGGGGGCTCATTTGTGATTGTCCCCTTGTGCAGCCAGATCTTTATTCACACTGAGAACATTCCTCTCTTCACATTGACTTTATGGCTCACAGCTATTGTGATGCTCCTGTGAGACTCTTCAGCACTAATTGTAAGGGGGGGATGGATCTTATCTGCTTCCTTGTATATCTCTGTCTTAGGTGCTAATGTGTACTTGACGTAAGCCTAACTTAATTACACAGTGCATGTCCTAGGAAGTGCTTATTCAGCAAATAGAGACTTGTCCTGGCAGTGATGATTTTTCAAGTGAAACAAAAACACAGGAAGTGAAGTACTGGTAATGCCAGAGTCACTTCTTTGCTGGTGTTACAGCTTTACATTTGCATCTGACTGGCTGTGGTGAGAGCTGGCTGTGAGTCAGTGATTAGAAAAAATAATTTTGAAACTCCCATTGTATTATTACTGAGGGAGCTTTTTGAAGCATTTGAAATACTTGACCCATCAGCCACCTACCCCAAGAGCTTTGTCTTTGCAAGTATTTGTGCTACATTGGGATGGGGTGTAAAACAATGGGCGTTAAATACGATGAGCACAAATACGTTGTAACAGGCAGCATGGAGCAAAATACACCAGATTTAGCTACACATCTTCTGCAAGTTCAGGCTAACAGGAAAGTTATCATAACCCAAATAAATCACTTACATTCAGAGCAGATTGCAGCTTCTAGATTTGTAGTGTCATTTGTCCTTCAGTGTAAGGGAGCTGGGCAAGGCTGGCTTGTCTTGTTTCATGCAGCGTGGGGACTTTCAACTGTGTGTGTAGGAGTTAGTTCTCATCAGATGTGGGTGGGAGTTTGTGTTCAGTACTCTGTGTAAATCATGCCATGCAGCTAGGGAGACAGCCTGTGGCTTCTCTTGCAGTTGTGGATTGTTATTTAATCACTCAGAGTCATACTGGATTCCTGATTTCCTATTCCATATCCTTCCTGCTCGAGCTGCAGTGGTTCAGGAGAGGAGATGGCCTTTCACAGACATCCATGTCTTTTCTTAGAGATTCCCTTGCTTAGTCAGTGCTGCTGATCCACACTCCCAAGAGCTCCCACGTGTGAGCCATGCACCCCTTCTCAGCACATCATCACCCATCAAGTAGCAGAAGCTCTGTATCTGCTGCTGGTGTGTGAGACATCCTGTACGGAGCAAACTGCTCCTGCCTTGTGACTGCTGAGGGAAACCAAAATAGACCCGGCCTCAGGTGAACCAGACGTGTAGGAGCTGCCATGTGCAGGCTTTATAACTGGTGAAGGTGACAGAAGAAAGGAAAAGACCCTCTTGGTGAAGGGCTTTCCTGACAGTCTCTTAGCTTTAACAGAACCTTGTTGTCTCCTGGTCAATCCTTTGGGGTCCTGCACATGAGGATGGGGAGGCACAGGGAGAACTGTGAGTAGTGCCTAAAGCATTTCTTTCTTTTACTGTAGTTGTGAAGAAGCTAAACGAGCTTTACAAATCCAGTGTATCCTCCTGCCACTGCCTCAACATGAGACTGCAGAGGTTCTTCTTGGACAAACAGAAGCTCATGGATCGGATCAACAGCATCACTGCAGAGAAGCTCATCTTCAGCTATGCTGTGCAAATGGTAAAAACCTCACAGTGCCTGGGGCTGGGGTAGCACAGAGCAGTGTTGGGCATTAATGGTTCCTGCTCGTGCCTTTAGCAGCTGGTTCTCCTCATGATGCTCCCCTCTGGAGGCTGGGAAAGGGGGGTGTCCATGCAGCTGAGGGACTGTGCTGGGAAAGTTGGGTCTGCTCTGGGAGTAAGCTCTTGGCACTGGGTTGTTGCTCTCAGGTGCAGTCTGCAGCCCTGGATGAGATGTTCCACCACAGAGAGGACTGTGCACAGAGGTACCACAAGGCTCTGCTGCTAATGGAGGGGCTCCTGAACATCATCACTGAACAGGGAGACATAGAAAACATCAGTAAATGTGAGTATTAGGTGACTTTTTGGTTTTTCCACAGCTAGAACATGTGGGCTTTTTAGCTGCATGGATCAGGAATTTCAGTTCCCAGCACCGTTTTTTTTCCTTTGGCTCCATCTTTGTGGACATAGCAGAGCTCTCTTGGCTTGTTACAGCTCCTTGCAGCCCGGTCTCCTGCTTTTCCAACAGAAAAACTGTTAGAAATGCAGGTCCCTGTTCTGAGCCACATTTTGAGAGCTTCCCATGCAGAGCAATAGCCAGCACTTTGTTGGAACTTTGGATGTGTGAAAGAACTCGTTGGAGGAAGTGGTTTGGCAGCAGCAGGGGCCTGGGGTTGGTTTCCAGCTGGAACCATCCCTTGGCACAGAGCATTTGGGAATGTGAACCTGTAGTGGCTGCAGGGCAGAGATTGCTGCTCAGCACAGCAAGGGCCCCTTCCAGCACATCTCTGAACCAGGACTGCTCACCTGCCTGGTTCCCCAGCCCTGAGCCTGGCTGGGAAGGCAGCAGACACAAACTCTTCTCATCAGCAAGTGCTTGCTGTAGCAGTGAAAGCTGAGCTCTGACCTGCGTGCTGTCCTTGAGCCTCCTCTCCCAGGGAGTCTGCTGCTCCGAGCTGTCCCCTCTCCAGTGCTCTCCCTGTCCCCTGACGGATGTTACTCTCCATCTGGAGGGGAAAGGACTCACTCACTGCTCTGAGCACACTTCCATGCCCTTATGGCTGGGGCTTAATCATCTCTGTCACCTCTTACTGAGGGTGGTGGGAAAAAGGGATGGGGAATAACCATCATCTGTAGGAGCAGCTTGGCTTGGCCTGGGCTCTGCTCCACCACAGTCATCCTAGCCCACCTGCAGCAGTCCCAGCAGTGTTCCTGTGGCCACAGGGGAGACCACAACTGGCAGGGCAGACCATGTGCCTGTCCCCTCTGCTGGCCACCCACTGCCTGCCTCTGCATCCAGAGCACTGGATGGCTCTGGTCGTCCATGGAGGCAGAGCCCTTGGATAGGTAATGAAAGTAGAGATCTCTGGCTCCCAGGCCATCAGTCAGTTAATTATCACCGACTTTCACAGCTGACAGGAGGCTCACTGAAGGAAAACAAAGGGAAACGGGCAAGGTGGTGTGTGGTACTGGAGGGCTAAGTGAATAGGGAATACTAAGTAATTTCTGTTGTACTGTTTCTTACCAAACCTAGATCTCATCTTTTGATCCAGAGATACAGTTAATGCATGCAATAGATTTCTTTTCCCAGTTATTATCCTGGTATTGCAAGTTCCAGCTTCCTGATTGAGCTGTTCTCTGATAGGCAGTAGTGGGTGTGTGTTTCATTTTAGCTCTCAGGTCTATGATTACATATTTCTGAAAAGTGAAATGATGAACCTAGAAATACAGCAAGTGTTTCCGTGAGAGGCATGAATTCCACCAAACATTTAGCTTTTGAAAGATTCTTGGGCTCAAGTGATGAAACCTGGCATTGACCATGCTGGATGGGCTCTCCTAGTGTAAGCCATGGCAAATGGCACTGGAGACCCTGAGCTATTTTGTCTGCTGGCAAAAGCTGCTCCAATGGCTGGAAGTGAATAAATTCTTCCTGGAGGATGGTGATCCCTTGTAAAATCTTAGTATCTTTGTCAGAACTGCTGCCTCCCAGCTTTCACTGTCAGATCTCTGAGTGTTCAACCCTCTGATCTGTCCCTTCCCAGCAGGGTGATTCTGGTCAGGTCTTCACTGGCCTCATCAGCACCTGGTAATGATTCTCAAAGTTCTGCTTTTATTTGTTGAAATTCTACTGTCAGTTTTCCCTTTTTGGTTCAGTCTCCATTGGCAGGAAAATGAAAGCTGATTGCTTGTGCTGTGTTTTTTCCCCAGGTAAGCTGTGCATCGAGCGCAGGCTGTCAGCTCTGCTGTCGGGGTTCTGTGCCTGATTTCAGCGCTGTTGTCCTTCACACACCTCGCCCCAGCTGATTGCTTTATTCCCAACAGCCTGTGCTGTGGTGGGAAACCATTCTGGCAGTGGGACACCTGGAGGATGGACTGCTCAGTGTTCTGTTTTTGGACGTTTTGGGAAGTTGTTCCACAGACTCAGATTCCTTTGTGGGGACGTGTGACTGCAGCAAGCACAAATACTTCCCTGCCCAAAGGCCTGGGTGAAGACATAGCTCATGTGGAAAGGTCTCCCTCGTTGTCAGAGGGGGTGAAGGATAGAAGTCTGCTTCTTCCCAGCACTTTGAAGGACAAGACTGCTGCCTCTCCCTCTTGCTTAAGAACAGGGTATTCCAGTGCTGTGTCCATTGCAGGCAATGGATGTGCTGAAACTGCTGGCTTCAGTTGATGTCCAAGTGTGTCATTCAGACATAAAGGCCAGTCTGTGTACTTTCCAGCTGAGAGCCGGGCATCTTCAAGCTCCCTGGCAACTGGAGCCAGTTGAGGCTTCCCTTCACTCTCTCCTTTGTCTTTTCTCCTTGTGTTTATGCCTTGGAGTGCTTGGAGAGGGAGTTGGCATTGTGAAGCAGCTCCCGCCTCTGCAGACTTGCTGAGTGAGGCAGAGGACCTGAGGCTGCTGGGAAGCTTGGAAATCTCTTGGCTGCTGCGTGGGCTCCCTGTCTGCCTGCCTGGATGGGCAAACAACACGGGGAAAGGGGCCGTGCAGGAAACAGGAGGGCAGCAGAAAGCATCACACTCCTGTGTTCATAAGAAGCCAAAATGAATCCGTTCCTCGCTTGGTCCCCCGGCTCAGTGGGATCAGTGTGAAAGACTCGTGGCTGTTGAGCTCGGCCTGTCAGCACGTACCTACCTGGAGGAAGCACTGGCTCTGTCCTGCTTTCAGCTGTTGGCTCAATAAACCCTTCCCTGGAGCCCCCCAAACTGAAAACACTAGCTTTGTGAATCAAAGGAGCACTTTACACACTATGGGAACTTTGAGAAGTTGATTTTGCATCACACAACAATCCAGGAACATCACGACTGTTAGGAATGCTGTTCTTTTTATTCCTTTCCTTGCTTCCTGGTTGTTTTATTGCACTACGTGTGTGCGTATATTAATATGTATTCCTAAGAGTGAATATATATTGATATTGATATGGTTTGTGTGTAACTGTACGTATTTAACTGTACTGTATCTCGTGAGTGTGAGGCAAAGAGCACTGCAGAGTCTGTGCTGTTCCTCCTCCACACCAGGCAAAGCTGACTTACAGTCTGGCAGTACCAAGATTTGTTTTTTATTTAAATGTTCTTTTAAGGACAGTCATTACAAAGCTCCATGCTTTTTAAGAGCTGAGAACAGGCGTTAGGATCCCACACACTTGGAAACGCATTTTTAAAGAAGTGTTATTTGCTGCTTTGTTTTTGTTTGTTGGTTTGTTTCTTTTTTTTTTTATAAAGAAATCCCGTAGCGTTCAGTTTCATGTTCAGCATTTCTTTCAAGGAGACTCTGTAGCCAAATGCGACTGCGGGTGTGAGTGGCTGGAGTTGTGGCTGAGGCTTTGGGTGCTGTGAGCATGTGTGTGAGAGGGGAGCTGCCTGCCTTCCATCTGTCCGTGACAGCATGAGTGTGACGTTCCAGAGTCGTGGCAGTGTTGTGGTAGCGCTGGGCAGAAAAGCATCTTTGAAAGCAACTTGAAACCTCAGGCTTAGTTTTTGGGGATCTAAAAATATTTTGCACATGGTGGTTAAGTCCTCATTGCTTTTTTTTTTCCTCTCAAGATTGGCACGTTCAGTGTGATACTTTACAAGGGTTTCAGGAGCAACTTCATGGGCTTTGGAGCTGGCACTGCATTTGGCATACATGGGTGTTTCTGTTCACAGAGCAGAAGTGCCAATAAAGAAATTTTAAAATATTTCCAATCGCCCCGACCAGGGAAGCTTAAGTGTAGCTTTCACAAATGCTTCAGTATTTGGCTCACAGTCTGCTGCTTCTGTGGCCATTTGTGCTTGTGCCTGGGAAAAAAAAAAGGGAAAAAAGAAAAAAAAAGAAGACAGAAACAACCAACCCCCCCCAGCCTGTTGTGGACAGAAATGCCGAGGAGACCCAGACTGCTTCGGAAAGGCTTTGGGCAGCTGTGCAAAGGGCTGTGCTGCAGCAGGGAAGCACCAAGCCAGGACTGACTCTGCAGTACCAAGCCCTGCACCCCAGAGCCTCCAGCACAGCCCCCAGGGGCTCCTGGCCAGGAGGGGCCCAGCCCAGCCTGGGATCCACGTCTCTGCCTCGCCCCAGTGAGCCGTGTGTGTGTGGCAAGCTCAGCACTAACCTTCCAGCTGTGCTTCATTACTTGAATGTATCCAAATCGTCCACATTCAATGTATACAAGTATATATTGCTCCAACAAAAAAAATTAAAATTGTGGTTTACAGATCTACAACCGGTATATATGTATGTGTTTGTGTATATACATGCAAGGCTGTGTGTGTGTGTGTGTATGTGTGTGCATGGGTAGAGATACACACACAAACACAAACGTGTATATATATGTTTGTTTTTTTTCTCTCAATACTTGAAACTTAGCCACTGTGCTTGAATTAAAAAAAAAAAAAAATTTAAAAAACCAACAAAAAACCCACACAAAATAACCCCAAAAGTAGGGGAGGAAAAAAAAAAAGAAAAATCTGACAGGTGATTTATTTTGCCATCACTTTGGTGACTTTCTTTTTTATCTAACTGCATGTAGCGTGAAACCAACTTTTTTGGTGAAAAATATTTATTGCTTTGTAGACAATAAGGTATGCAAAAAAAAGGAAAAATAAAAAAACAAAGAAAATACCCCAAAAACCAACCCCCAGCCATTGCTGAAGTTGCTAGTGTAGTCCACCTGCTATTGTCATGGCTTTGTTGCTGTTGCAGCGTTTGTGTCTGGCGTCTTTAATAGATTTCAAGAAACCTCAGTCTAATTACACGTACCTTCAGGTTTGTGAGAGCGTATGATGATGTTCTTTATAAGGTAATGCTTGATACTTTGTCAACATTTTTTATTTGTGTTTTGTGTGACTTTTTTTTTTTGGCTTTAAATTGTACAACACCGATTTAAGACAATAAAATTGATTTGAAATTGTTAGTGGCCTGCTTTCAGTCCTTTATGATCCCTGTTCATATGGCATCTGAGCGAGGCCTTTCTAATGTTTGTGGTTCTACCAGCCTCGACTTTTGGGCAAAAAAAAGGCTTTTTTCTGTGCCCTTACCACAGCAGGTGAAGCTTGGGGCAGAAAAGCCACCTTGCCTGAATCCACAGGAAGCCTGTGAATTTGGGAAAGTTGAAGCCAGTTGCTGGGTAGGAGCTGTAGTTTCTGGTTTCTCTGTCCATATTACCTGTCCTCCTGCAGGGGTTAGGAACTGTCACAAGTTGATAGCAGGTAGTTGGATTAAATTCCAGCATATATTCCATCCATATTTCAGTATTTGTAGGATTACACTGTCAGAATCAGCAAGCTTGTTGCTGAACAAAAAAGGGGCTTGAAATGTGATATAATGATATCATGATAACATTTGGGTATTTTTAATTAAGACTAAATGTTTTCCTGCTGTGTTTGTACTCATTGCAATTTTGTTTTTTGAACAGAGCAGGCACATGGCTTAGAATTCTGTTGCCCACATAGCTTTGCAAAAAAGTCACTGAATATGGCAAAAGGGACAATGAGGATGCTGAGAGTGTTGGTCCTGACTTCAGGTGCAAGACAGGTCCCAGTTCTGTCTGGATTGGAATCCTCTAGGAGGAAAAGCTAAGCCCTGCATCTGGGATGTGGGAAACATGCTGAATTAATTAGTCCAGTCCTTCCATTCTTGCAAAAATTTCAGCAGCACAGCTGTAAACTTTCAGAAGCCAAATACCGTAATTCCACCAAACATTTCCCAAAACTCCACTTGCTGAGCTCTGTGTTATTGTTGCCCATGAGCATCACTGGGGAAAGTCCTGCCCACAAGGCCCTTTGTGATGCAGCATCACCCCACAGTTACTGCAGTGTTAGTTTTTTTTAAGAAAAAAAATCTTATTTCAAAATCATCATTTACTGTTAAGTGGAATTGTTTTTTTTCTTGCTCTGCCCTGTTTATAACCTCTGTTTCCTGCCCCTGCCTTTCCCACCCCAGGGAATTGCTGTGTGAGAACGCTCCTGCCTAGAAACGCTGGGCTCTTGTTGATGCTGACTCACATGTAGGGACAGTCGATCCTTTCTCCCTGCACAGCTGCAGCACCATCAGTGCTGGGGACAACTCAGAAACTGCACTTCTGGTGCTGAAAACGTGGTGGCACAACCTGGGCAAGACCCCATGGCAGCCGTTGGAAAGCTGGTCAGAACTAAATAATTACAAATACGGCTGTTTCTTAAAGTTTGTCAGCTCAGCACACTTGGGTCTTTGATTTTTGAGGGTTTGGGGTTTTTTGTTTTTTTTTTTAACATTTTTTTTTCCCTTTTGTAGAAAACCCTTGTGTATGTTTGTTCCCTGTAACATGGGATAATAGTACAGAATGTATACATGTAAATGTTTCTGATGCTGAGGGTAAGGGAGTGGGATTTCTTTTGAAGCTGTCCATTAAGAATTTCAAAGGTTCAGGTGAAAACACTGTAGTCAAATGAAAGATGGACCACTGTGTGTCACATGCCTGTGTAGACTGAGAACTCTGCTGAATCCATGGGACTCTTTCACAGGCAGCAGAGCAGAGGGGGAAAGTGCTAGCTGGGAAAACTTCAACAACAGAAATACAGAGTCTCTTCTAAAAGCACTGAACCATGGGACCTGGACAGTTCAAAAGCACCAGTGGAAATTGCACAACTTTCTAGATGACTGTGACGTCATGCTGCTGTTGATTTTAGGAGAAAACAAACCCGAGCAATTCTTCCAGGGCATTTGGCTTTGTTCCTGCATTTTATATTTAGTTGTTGGTAAGTACGTCAGCAAAATCATACTCATTCAACTCTGAAAGATCAGAGGTGACAGTGACATCAAGGAAGCAGAAACGGGTGGGTGTGTGTTGAACCAAGGCCATACAAAGATCAATTATTCTGCTTCCAGCTCTTTTAAAGCTTTATTTCACAAGGAGTTGACTCCTTCACAGCATGTTTGAATTCTCTGGTGTTTAATGTGATGTTGGCTTCTCTGCAGTGGCCCACTGTGCCTGGTCACCTCACGCTCCAGGGAGAGGAAGGGTTGTGTGCAGGGAGACAAAACCCTGGCATAGCTCTGCAGGACAGGAGCTAATGCTCTCCAGAGAAATGCTAGCAGTTGGATTTATTTAGATTTATTTCCATAAATGTAGCACTAAGCATGGGTGCCATTCCCTGGGTGAGGAATGGCACGTAGTACAGGGATGCAAACTTCCCTGGGACATTTCTTTCTAAAAACAGCCTTTTTAGGGACAATAGAGTCAGAACCACCCCCCCTCCTGGGAGATGAAACCTGGCAAGGGATTTGAATGCTTTTAGAAAACATGTTAAATAGTGCATTTCTAAGGAGCTGAAGCATATATCAAACACCGGTTTCCCCTTACCATGGACAGAGTGAAACCGAGTTCCCAAATGTGGGCAATTTTTCTTCGTGTTTACAGCTAATGCCCAATACACAACTGCTAGGGGGGAGCAGAATAAGGTGCTCTTTGTCCCTTTAGTTCAGCATGTCACCAGTTCCCAACATGGATGTAAATGGCTTTTAACTACAACATGTGGTATCTCTTGAACTTCTAGTGCTGTGCATCAAAGCCCTTAAACTCACTAAACATCAGTTTAGCCGGTTTTTTCCTTCCTTTTAACAGAAAACAAGTGGATGGAAGCATGATTCATAATACAATGTTTCCTTGGAGCCTTTTTTATTGATTTAAAAGAAATTTTATTTCTCTGTGAATTGAAAGCAAATCCTCTTGAACTAAATACCACCTTTTCCAAAGCAGGCCTTGGGGAGGAAGATGAGAAAGTTGCTTGGGTGACATTGCCACAGCAGGGCAGGAACAGGGCTGCTCAGGGAGGGGACAGCCAGCTGCAGGGGGACCCTGCTCTGCAGCCCCAGGGGACAGCGCGCAGTGTCTGGGAGGAGTGGGAGCAGTGCCAGGGGTGCCTGGCCGGGGCCAGCTGTGGGGCCAGGGCTGTGGGTGCTGTGGGACACGGCAGGGAGGTGGCGGTGAGCGCTGCCACAGCCCCATCTGCAGGCGGCGGAGCAGCTCGGGGCGAGGAGCGGCACCCATATCGCCACGAGAATAAATGAACAAAAAACACGCGGCAGCCCCCGCTCTGCAGCCGTTCTGCTGCCCGCCCCGCAGGGCTGGTACCTAGAGAGCTTTGATGGTGCTGATTTCGGAACTCGGGACCTCCTGAGGGTCTGACTGCCCCAGAACGCACCAGCAGCGGCAACTCTGGCCAGTGACTTCGATTTCTCTTTGCTTTTGGTAGCGAGATAGAATTATCATTATTATTATAATAATAGATAAATTATGCATAGGTGTTTCAAGATAAAATAGGTAAGTTTAAAAAAGGAAGAGGTAGTGCGTGCTGGATAAGATCACAGCTTGCGCTGCCTGTTTTGAAGCTTCTTGGCTACTCTTAGAAGGGGTCAGGAGCTAGGACACCAAAGCTTTTTCCTTATGGGATATCCATTCAAGTCTTTCTCCTATCCCATCACTGTTTTCCATATTGATTGGCACCTTCTTCCCTCTCTCACATTTACTGAAATGAGCAAAACTCAGAAATCAAGGCAGGGAAGGAGGAGGAAGGGATGTGGCAGACAGACAGGCCAATTGCATAAGCTCCACTTCCTAAGGAAATGAGGCAAAAAAAGATTCAGACACCCTGGTCGCAGTGATAGAGAAATTTGTATTCCTGTTTCCCTTGGCAGCAGCACTGCACTACGACGGGCCCTCTTTTATCACTTCTCTAAGCAAAGTGCAGCTGGGACCCTATGATAAATCTTCCCTTTGCTCCATCCCACTCCTGAAATAACTCTAAAGTGTCACTTCGAAAAAGGACATGCTGCATTTCTTCCCCTTATTAACTGAAATAACAGGCCTGTGATAATCTGGCCCACTTGGAAGTGTCAACCTTTCCTTGTTCCATCTGAACGGATAAATGGATAAATCTCCTAGAATCTCACATCGTGACAGGGAGCCCATGTCTCCACTGGGTAGCTCCGTCCTACAGAGCACGGGAGCAAAGAACTATTCCAGGTGCATTTGGCTTTTTGGGACGTACATGCTGTGGCCTGGTAAGGGCTCCTGTTGTGCTCAGCTTCCCCATGAAGTGCATCACTGCAGATAAAACTTGCTGCACAAAATATGACCTCAAGGATTGCCTGAGCAAGCTGGCTGGAGGAAAATCTGAGGGGAAAGGGAGCCAGGGGTGCCCATGCTTGACATTGGCACAAAGAGAAGCTGTGTGGAGAAAGAGACCAGTGTGACATCCCTCTGGGACGGGAACCGTGAGCTTTTACTGCAGACCTGTGTGCCTTGTGAGCCATTCCCTCACCTTGTCCTCGCCTCACTGGGACTGCATGGATAAGGAAAATTGGGCTGCTTTACTTACACAGCCACCGCGTACCGCCGGGACTTTAGTTTGCCTTTCCCCCTGCTTTTCCGCGATTTAACAGTATGACATTTTTGGGGTGTGTTGGCGTGTGCGGGAGGTGGGGCTGAGAAGGGCAATACCCTCACCCTGGTCACCGCCAGCACTGGAGCAGGGCGGGCTCTCCGGGCTGGGAACCCCGGAGCAGAGCTGGCTCTACGCGCCATCCCTTTTCCCATTCCCAGGCAGATCCGGGAAGGGCTGGGTTCACTGTACGCCCAGCGCTTCCCTCAGCCCGCCCCGCTGCCCTCACGGCGCTGCCCTCACGGCGCCTTCGCGCTCCCCGCGTGTCCCCGCGCGGCCGCCGTACCGCGCACGTGTGCGTCCCGCGCGGCGCCGTCGCTGCGCAGCGCCCGCGTAAGTGGCGGCGGCGGCGGCGGGCGCGGAGCTGAGGGCGGCGGGCGCGGCCTCTCCCGCCCGGTGACCCCGGGGACGATGCTGCGGTGGGGACTCCGGGTCGTGAGCTGCGGCCTCTCCTCCTCCTCCCCGGGGAGCGCGGCGTGCCCCGGGCTGTGGCGGCGGCAGCGCAGCGTGGGTACCGCCGGGCCCTGCTCCGCCCCGCTCCGGGGACGGGTCAGGCCGGCTGGGCCCATCGCCACTCGCCCTGCCGGGTGTCCTGGCAGCGCAGGCCCTGCCTGCCTCCTCCAGGGAGTGCTGACACGGCCTAGGGCGAACACCCCTGTCCCCCTTCCTGCCTCCGACTTGTTTATGTGCTGTCCCCTCCTGCGGCCCCGGGGATGGAGCTGTCGCTTTCTGCTCGAGTTTCGTGCCATTCATGCTCGACCCATCTGCGGTTGTTTCCCCCGCAGGTTCTTAAAATGGCTGAGGATTTGATAGCAGCGGTTGCCAGCCAGCCAAAGAGACTCAACAGCAGCAGCGAGGTGATTCAAAGGCTGGAGGAAAACGGGCATCAAAACAAAAGGTTGAAGAGCGATGCGGACGAAGAAGATGCAGAGGATCAGAATAAGAAGTCGCCCAAAAGAAAGATTGTGCTGTTGATGGCATATTCAGGGAAAGGCTACCATGGCATGCAAGTATGTGATTTGGGAAAGCAGCATCTCCAGCTTATTTTTTGTTTCGGAGTCTGTTAGGTTTTGTCAGAATGCCTGGGTAGGGAAACAGTTGAGCATTTGCATTGTGAAAAACCAAGACAGGAACAGTGTATGAATGGGTTCGAATGGCTTGGTGGCAATTTAATTTTAGAAAGGCAGTGGTGCATCTGTGATGATTCTAGGGACAGTGCTTTGTCATAGCACCAGATCTGCCTGTGCAGGGTGGTCTGTGGCACGGAGCTGGCAGCGAGAGGGTGATCCTGCTCCATCTGCTGCTCCTCTCCACGTACTGCAGGCTCCATGCACTTAAAGAATACTTCAAAAGCTCCAGGGCTTAACTGGCAATCTTGCACACAGACAGGGAAGGGAGCCTTTCGTGCTTATACAACAAAGGAGGTTTTTTTCACCAGCAGTAGACCTCATGCTTACAGGCACATCAGGTGAACTGAGCAAAAGAACCCAACCTAATTTCTAGAAGAAAAATTTGCAGAGGCTGGGTTTGGAGCAGCAGCTGTTAACTTGCAGGCACTGGGACAGTATTGGTACTGTTTCATGCAGTTGAAGGAATAATCAAAAACCTCCAGAAGTGCTGCACAGTGTAATTAGAAATGAGCCCTTACTTGCCACTGCAGTAACAGCTAAACCAGAATGATGTTCTATTAACACTCTCTGGCAAAATACAGTTAGGTTTGCTAGAGAATGGCTCCTAAGGCTGTGAAGGGAAGACTTTAAAAGAATTTAACAACGTTTGATTAATGAAAATTCCATCTTTATTTATTCGGTTATTGCAATTTGTTCTGTTTCTCATTTTTGCTACGTATGGCCTCTTAGAGAAACGTGGGATCTTCACAGTTCAAGACAATTGAAGATGACCTGGTCTCTGCCCTTGTTCAGTCAGGATGCATCCCAAAAAACCACGGGGAAGATATGAAGAAGATGTCTTTCCAGCGGTGTGCTCGAACAGATAAGGTGAGTTGGGCAGGCCTGTGCTCTCCTGAACTCTGGGGTTTGCACACCTCTGCTGCTGGGATGGACTGGTAAAGCATTGTGCAGAGGGAGATCCTCACTGTGCAATTCACAGTGAATGTTGCTTGAAACTTCTCCTTTTTTCACTAAAATACAAGCAAATAAACTTGTTATTCTGCCACTTCAATTCTGCAAGTGCTGTCCTAGAGCTTCCAAAATACATGATTATGTGGGCTATTTTTATTATTTTATTATGTGACTTATTTATTATTGTTATCATTATTATGTGACCTAATTTTATGGTTTTTACAGGGTGTGTCTGCAGCTGGACAGATTGTGTCACTGAAGGTCAGACTAATAGATGACATATTAGAAAAGATCAATAATCATCTTCCTTCTCACATCAGAATTCTGGGTAAGAACACTGAAATGGGCAGAGAAAATATTTTCAGGAAAAGCCTTCTCTTGCAGAAGGTCTCCCTGCCTTTCCATTATATTTTTACTTATAACAGGTTTAGTTTTAACACACTTCTATTAGCTTAAAATTGGGGTTCTTTAGAACAAATCTATTTTTGTTTGCATTTTGTTTAAAAACTATTGTTTTTGGTAGTAGTGAGATCACAATCAGTCTGTAACCTGATTCAAAAACCTAATGTCACTTTTAAATCCAGGCCTGAAGAGAGTCACCGGGGGCTTCAACTCCAAGAACAAATGTGATGCCAGAACCTATTCTTACATGCTGCCAACGTTTGCCTTTGCCCACAAGGACCATGAAGTGCAGGAAGAGCTTTTTCGGCTGGACAGAGAGACCCTTGAAAGGGTCAATAAATTGCTGGCCTGCTACAAAGGGACACACAACTTCCACAACTTCACGTCACAGAAGGGCCCCAGGGACCCCAGTGCCAAGCGGTACATCATGGAGATGTATTGTGGAGAGCCCTTTGTCAGGGAAAACATGGAATTTGCAGTGATCAAAGTGAAAGGTCAGAGTTTCATGATGCACCAGATCAGGAAGATGATTGGGCTGGTGATAGCAATTGTGAAAGGTTATGCTGCTGAGTCCATCATGGAACTCAGCTGGGGAGAGGAGAAGGTCGATGTCCCCAAAGCCCCAGGACTTGGGCTGGTTTTGGAGAAAGTACACTTTGAAAAATACAACAGGCGTTTTGGGAATGATGGGCTGCATGAGCCACTGGAGTGGACAGAGGAGGAGGAGAAGATTGCTGTTTTCAAAGAGCAGTACATCTATCCTACCATTATCAACACAGAAAGGGAGGAGAAATCCATGGCAAACTGGCTAAATACCCTCCCCATTCATGACTTCAACTCGACTGCTGTTGAGATGCAAACTAACACCAAAAATTCAAAGGTAATGACTGAAGCCATTATTTTACAAATGGAAGCTGTCAAGTTGAAACATCTCTTCCTTTTGTAACATTTTTATTTTCCATGAAATGCCGTGGAAATGACAGTCATCTGGAGTATGAAATGTGTATAATCTTTTCTGTCTTTGTGCACTTGATGATAGTGGAATGAACTGTACAAAGCATTGTTTTTGCAGGGTTTTACAGGGAATAGTTGAGGAGGGAGGAAGGAAAGCTTTAAGCACAAGCAATTTGTGTAATCATAAACTGGCAGCAGAAATTACAGACACATTGCCAGACTTTGCTCTTGAAAGTGTTGGGGAGTCTAGGTTTCAGGCTGATAATTTTGCTTTAAATACTTGCTGGCTTTTTGTATTCTCTGATTTTGGGCTAATTCTCATTTTGTTACCAGATAAGGTTTGGGATCAGGGAAATTTAGGACCAGCTCGTTTAAATTAATCTGTCATGAGCTCAAAATAGGCCATCAGAACAACTTCTGAGTAACTGGGATATTGTGGAATTGGATTTGTGTCAACAGGAACTCCTGTGAGCTATAAGGTGCAATACAACAAAGGTGTAGAATACATTTTTGCCAAAAAGGAAATTTCAGTTAAAGGCTGGCAAGTCCTTGAAGGATGAATGATGGGCAGGGCTAAAACTTCTATATAATGCAACTGTGAAGAAAATAATGGCCTTTTTTCGTTTAACAGAATCCTTAAAATTAGCTTTATTTTGTGTAGCAAATGGAGAATGTTTGGTTTAATTATGTCTGCCATTTTTTGCTTGAGTTCAAGAGAGAGTTTCATCACACAGTATAAGACTTACAGCTTTGTTGAATAGCACAAGCAAAATACCATAAGTTTCTCAGGGTTATTTTTGTACTTGTGGTAATTTTTTTTTTGGATTCTGGATATGTGAGAGGGGTGTTTGTGACAGGAGGTCACGGCAAAAGCCACGCTAGTTTTTAAAATGGGACCCAAAGAGACCGTGTGGCACAGAGTCCTTTACCTGGTGATGTTGGCAGGACCTGGTGCTGCCAGGTTCTCAATTTTTGGTGCATTCCTGGAAGGAGGCAGGTTCTGCTCCCTGCAGATGGACCCGACCAAGTTTGGGTTTGGCACCACAGTTAGCACAAGCTGTCTGGGAAGGATAAATAAGGCATGATATGACAGACTCTGCTGAGGTTTTGCAGGCTGTTTGCACCTCAGTGAGCTGTGCTTGCTGGTATGAAGTAAGCTGTGTGAGTGTCTTGGAATTTGTTTTGTAGTAGGATATTAAATTGCCAGTGTTAAATTTGTGGGATTCAGTGTTTTCAACAAGCGGTGGTGAGGGGGAAAAAAGAGGAACTACAGACATCTAGTCTATAGATATATATACTATGCTAGTTTCTCTTTATAAAAATACTTTGATATCAGTCATATCAGTTTAAACACTTGCTTCAAAAAAATACATAAACCCCCAAATTAATTGCACCATATTGCCTTGAGTGGCTCCCAGAGAAGAACTCTGACTTCAGCCTCCTTTTAAGTTTCTAACATTTGTAATTTTTCCTTAGTACTACTTTGTGCAACTGACTTCACTTTTAAACAAGTATTAGTGAGCCCTGGCTTATCTGCAGTATAGGTTGGACATAAATTCTATATAGCAGACAAAATTCTCAAATCTTTAGTCAATGTAACAAGCTTAGCTTTTGAGGGACTTGCATAAAAAAACACTTAACTTGTCTCACCTGCATTTATTTTAAATATCAGCATTTCATCTTACTATCCCACTTCTATGTTTCCCACATACTGCAGATTGTAATTAGGGAGTTGTGAATGTAAGTGAGAAGAAATTTCCTCTGCTGGTAATTGTAATCCAAAGTACATTTTTTGTTACAAGAAGCATCTTTACTACCACAGATGTTTACTACAATAGATGGGTCTAACCATGAAGTTGGGATCCAGGACTATTTTCTTATACTTGTGGAGAAGTTTAAAGTCAGTATTTTTTGATTTAGGTCAGTCTGTGGATGTAAATGCAACACTGAAACCATTTTGTGTTTTGCTTTGCAGAAGAGCAGCGATGTCGAAGCCAGCGATGGTTGTGGTGATGATTCTGACTGAGCCAGCAAGTGGCTGGATGTGGGACCCTTGCTGCTTGCAGTTCCCTTTGCCTATAAAAAGGTGGCCTTTCTAAATTCAAGAGTCCAGTGAAACAGGAGTTTGTGTGCTTGCAGAACGAGAACTGGATGCCCAGGAGAAACTGGGTGGGGAAGACAGTGCAGCAGAAAAAACAGAAGTTTTTCAGATCACTGACCGATTCACCTGACTGATATACTTGAAAACAGTGTAGTGGGAAAGCAGCTTCCTAAAAAAATCTTGAAATGCAGGATATCTTAATTGCTATTTGAATAATGTTTTTATTATGTTTACTTGGAAAATAGTATTTTAAATATGTATAATCTCTACATAAAGATGGGGAAAATAATTTTAATATACTCTTTTTTTATTATGAAGTTACGACTTCATGAGCTTTTGATTAACTTACCTTTACTTAAACTGAATCTCTAAGCTTTTAGTTTTCATGTCATCCATGGTTTTCCTATGGAATAACTGGCATGACCCTGAAATTAACTCAGTTACAGTGTGGTGCTAAAAATGCCAAGGTTGTGGATTCAATCCCTTTATGGGCCATTCACTTAAGTGTTGGACTTGGTGATCCTTGTGGGTCCTTTCCAACTCAGAATACGCTGTGATTTAGAAACTATGGGTTAGGAACTCATTATCATGCTGACTGCTGTGAACTCTTTTGGTTTTGAAACAAATTTCTGTGTTTTCTAGAGCTTTGCATGTCTAAAAGAAATGATTCCTTACTCAGTGAGAGGGCTTCAGTTTGGAATGTGGACTGACCCATACATTCCAAGATGAGACCTTTTCTGTGGGAGGTGCCATCCTCCCAGCACTGCCTTCATGCTTGGGCAGGTTCAAGGATATAAATCCACAGCTCCAGGTGTAGTTGGGCCTTTGCTGCCTGAGGTGTAGCCCAGAAATCCTCTTGAGCCTTCCACAGGATCCAGAGTTGAATTGACTTGGATGGGTGAAAGAAATGGTGCTGAATTCTCTGGGCTTTAATCAGGCCTGGGTTTGTGAACTCTTCAAGCCCATTGAGCTCCTCAGAACAGGGAATGTGTGCAGTAATATGGGAGGTACATGTCTGAGCACTGCCATCCTCTGGGAATCAATTTTAATTTCCTCTGTTTTCAGGAATTGCATACTCTGGAGGTCATGCTCCTTTTTCCCTTTAGTGGTTTAACTTCTGGTTCTTGTTTCCAGCTCTCTGTGGAGGTGGCAGAAGAAATGACACCCTCCTGCCTTACCAGCCTTTGAGACTTTGTGAAGATGAGGAGTCCTTTGTTCCCACGTTTAGTGGATTTTGGCCAGAGCCTTAAATTTTATGGTTCCTTCTGAAATAATTGTTTTGGTTTAGCAGGGTTTTTTTGGGTTGGTGGGGATTTTGGGGGATTTTTTGGGGATAATTTTAAAAAAGGATTCCCATATTCATTTTATCTGGGTTTTCTTTAGCGCTTTTTATTTTATTATTGAGGCCATGGTCGATTTTATGAGAACAAGTGTGTAGAAGTGCCCTGGAGGGGGTGTCTTCCTGGATTTTCATTTACATTCCATGCTGGTCCATACTATTGACCATCTGCATTATCTTTCATCCAAAGCTGCGTTTTTCCATACCTTTCAATCTGAAAAAAAAAAAAAACTATCTACTTATAATAAAAGCCCCAAAACTGTGATATGTACCACAGTTGAAATCAAAGAGAAAATTTATTTGGAGAGAGAAAAAACCCCCAATAGTAATAATAATAGTAATAATAATAAGTCGCGGCTCCCCCCTGTGCGGGTGGGAGCGCCTGGCGCGGGTGCCTCCCCCCGCCGTGGGAGGTGAATGGTATCGCCGGCGGAGGGGCGGGGCGAGGGGCGGCCGCGAGGGGGCGCTGTGGGGGAGAGCGGCGGGCCCGGGGCGTGAGGGGAGCGCGGGGCGGGCCCGGGATCAGGGGCTGGCACAGGGAGGGAGGGTCGGGGTGTGCGGGACGGGTCAGGCCGTGCGGAATCAGTACGGGGGCAGTATATGGTGTGCGGAGCGGGTCAGGCTGTGCGGGATCAGTACGGGGGCAGTATATGGTGTGCAGAGCGGGTCAGGCCGTGCGGGGGTGGCACAGGGGAGTGCGGACGGGGACAGGGGACACCCGTCGGTGGCAGGAGGTTCGTGTCGGTGCGGGGAGCGGGGCACGCAGCGATGTGAGGGGCCAGGGCACCGCGCTCCCGGCTCTGCCAGCGCCTGCTCTGTTCTGAAGGTACCGGGCCGGAATGTCCTTTACAGCACGGAGCATCCCGCCCCGCTGCTTTGTGAAACGGGAGGTCGGGACTGGCAGGAGTGATAGCAGGCAGCTCCCTCCTGCAACAGCTTCCGTCATCTCCCGGGCGTGTGACAGCACCGGCCTCTCCCGTCACTGCAGCCCAGGAGTCCCTGGGCTGGAGAAAGCCGAAATCTTGACTATCCTGCATCTTCTTCAAAGTACGAACATAGTCCAGACTCAGAATGAGCTGCAGGAAGCCTCCAGGTTTGGCTGCTAGAGATGAACTAACTGGATAAATCTACTGGGACGATAAAGAATTCGAGTGGTTAATTTGGGTAAAAGGTCAGTGACCATTGAGATCAACTGCCTTTACAGTTGTGCAGGAAGCAATTCTGCAGCATTTTGTAGCAAAATAAAAATGTAAAATTTAAGTTAAGATATGAGTGGATAGACTTTTGGAAGTGGTTGATAGTCCAATGCACCATTTTATTGATAATGAGATACTTTAATAGGTTAACTTTATTTCAGTTCCAAAACAGTACTTCACAGAGAGACTCATAATTAGTTCTGACAGCAATTAAAAAAAAAAGTAACAAATTTTAAAATAATGCTGGTACATCTAGTGCTTATATTAATGACTTAAGATTAAGTGTAAATGTTAAGCTTTGTAATTAAAGATAATTGCTTTAATGAGATTTTCTGTAATTGTAACATTATATCTAATACCAATTGTTGCATGTTTTAAAAACCCTCTGGAGAAAATCTTGGAGATCCTAGTAAGTGCTGCACATCTCATTTTTCATGCATTGGGTTTAAATTTGTACCCTCTGAGCCTAATTTGTTGCTTTCCTTAATTAATGTTGTTGCATGAAATTTTTCCCTTTTGGTCATTTGATACCCTGACAGAGATGGGTTGTGTAATTGTCAACTCTCTGCAGGGTGTTGTTAGCAAAGATCTTGTCGGGTTGAGGAGTGGGTAAGAACATCCTAGACTGGCGTGCTGATTGAGTCACACCTTCAGAGCTTCCAGGCAGGCAGGTGTATTGGGGTGTGGTGGAAAGCTCATTTCACCAGCTATGTAACAGGCTGTATTGCCACTTTCTTTGGTTCTCTTGGTCATTTCATTATTTTTTTTTACTGAAATTGCATTTTTTAAAAGTCTCTCTGCAGTTGGAATGCCTCCTGTCCCTCAAGTGGCTCAGCAGATTAGCCAGGAGGAAAACCAACGGCAAAATGGACCAAATTTGTCAAGTTTGCTTAATTCCTTACCTGCTGCACACACCAGGAGCCCAGCTCTGCCCCAGCAGGTACAACCAGCAGGGTGGGATAAGATCCATGTGCTTGTGGTCCCAGCTCCAGTTCCCTCACAGGTATATTTGTATATTATATAACATTTATATTTTACAACATTAGTATATTATCTTGTATGGGGAGTGTTGACCTTTGTGTTTTGTGTGGAGACTTTGTGGATGGCAGAACTTATCACTCCAGCCTGGGAGAAAGGAACAAATAATTCCAGTAGTTTTTGCAGATGACTTTGCCAAGTCTGATAATTTGCTTCAGACAGCTGTGGTATATCTCAGCTGGCTGTGAATCTTTCTTTACAAAAAGACTTTGTGTTCATTTAAATTTAGAATGCTCTGTGGATACCTGTGTCTCTCCTTTGGTTTTAATTAGTGCTGCAGATATACATGACTTTTCTTGAAGAAAGGAAAGGGGTAAGAAGGAATCAGACGTTCTCTAGGGAAGTAGCATTTGTTCTTGTAATGAAATCCTAGAAGGAGATTTAATTAAACAGAATCTATTATTTTAAATTTTTTATGCACCTTTTTAAAATAAGGGGGGGGGGATGACAATGAAAATTTGTGCTGCTGTGCTGACTTGCCAGCAGTTGCAGGATGCTTACAATGTGTTAATAAAAATGCCAGAAAGTAAATGTGTTTTTATATGAACTTCTTAGAGAGTTTTTCCCATCTGGCAGAGTATTTAAATTCTGTGAATTTTCTCACTGAATCAGCAAGCACTTCCGATGAGATCTAGGGGTACTGTATTTTAGGAGGAAAAACAAAGTTCTCAAGACTGAGTAGCTCTGCATCCCAGGCTTCTCTACTGATTACTCATATTACTGCAGCCTCACCAAGTCCTTCAGAGACTTTACAAAAAGCTGCACAAAATACATTATTCATTATCTTTTCATAAAGTGCAACTTCAAACATCATGGAATGTTTCCAAGGACTGAATTTTCATTTCTATAGATTATCCATGTAACACTTTAACATTTTTTTACAGTGTTTCTCTTGGTTTTGTTTTGTGCAGTAGGAAATACAAGTTTAATTGTGCTTACTTGAAGGAAAATGAAATTCTGCAGTGAATAACAGCACTAAGGAAAGAAGGTTTATGGTCTCTGAAACATCTGCCCAAACTCCATGAGGCCCCACAGCACAAATCACACCATGATTATCTTTTGGAAGAAATGCAGTGGATGGCAACTGATTTTTTTTTCAAGAAAGAAGATGAAAGATGCTAACTGCAAAGAGAGTAATGTGAATTTGATATTTTCAACTAGAAAAGAGCAGGCAGCATTTTCATGGTTAGGATGTGATCACTGAGGATCTAGGAGTTTGGGGTTGTCTCTCCACTGTTTGTAAACTTTAAGCAGTACTCCTAAAGGGATTGTAATTATTTTCTTTCTTTAGAAATGTGCTTTTTAGATAGAATTATAATAATTCTAGAATAATTTTATGGTTTTATTTTAATGTGTCAAGGTGGGAATAGATGGGTCTGGAATGCCAGTTCTACAAAGGGAAATGTTTTAATTATGAGCATTGAATTAACTGCAGAGCTTGTCATTTGAGGGTGCTGCCCTGTTTGTGACTGCTGGTAACATGAGATTAATGCTCTATTTCCATGGTGTGGGCTCTTGGAACCTTTTAAAGTAACAGCAGCTGCTCTCTGCACAGTCACATGACACGTGGCTCTTCCACGTTCCACTTTAATTCTGCCATCAGCTGGGAGCTTTTTCATCATTCTCAGATACTGTGCTATTATTACTACCATTTTTTAGCTGCAGCTGAATAGTAGTAAAGTATTTCTTTACTTTGTGTTTTTTTCCCTTTTACTATAACTCAAGCAGACTTGTCTCTCTTTGATGTGATTGGGATGGAAAACCAAATTACTTGCTATGAAGCACAAATGCTGCTAAAACTGAAGGTAAATGGAAAGCTGATTGAAGAGATCTGCTGCTCCCCTTCACCACCCACACTTGAGCCAGTGAAGCTCAAACCAAATAAGGTATGTTGTGTGTTCAGATGATTGATGTATTTTTTTATTGTTTTTTTTTTAGTAACAGACAAAAAAGAGTAATATTTGTGAGGGCTGAGAGGGTTCATTCAGAATTATTAGTTACTTCTTTTAGCTTTTATTGGCAAACTGATCACTGCTAAAGACTTTATGCCTTTAAATCTCCCTCAGTCTTCTGAGGGAAAGCAGAGTGCTTCTTACTGCTTAATAGTTCTTTTCATTTATGAAAGCTCAGTTTTGATCTTTCTGGCCACACTCAAGACTTAAAGTCACTTGTGGTTTTGATCAAACACTGAAAATTACTTCTGGAGTAGTTTCCTAAGCAGAATAATTAACTCTTCTTCTTCTAGTTAATTTTCAGGTGTACTTGCAAAACACTTAAAGTTTTTTTTTAGGCAAGGGGAGAGGGGGAGGGAAGGACAGAGGGAGAAAAAAATGCTCTGTTAAATTTTGAGCTTATTTGTTTTTTGCTCTTTGCTCAGAAGAGAAGTTAGGAGGGTTCAGTTTTGAAACTTGGAGCAAATGTAATTCTGCTGTAGAGCAATGTAGAGTTAAATTTTAAAATAAATTAGCCTGAGAAGAGTATGGTTAGTGAAGCCCAAGAGAGCTTGTGTGACATTTGGCTGTGACAGGTGACATGGAGGATGTCCTGCACTAATGTTCATAGGCTGTTCTGCCAGAAGAGAGCATTGGCAGTTAATGAAATTAAGAACTTGGAAGTGATAGCTGAAGTATATATGTAAAACAGAAAAAACCCTCCTTTTTCTGTTTAGACATCTCTGGTTTCCTGGAAATAGTGTACACAA